CTGGCGGCTCACAGTGGCCACCCCGTCACACCACCTCCCCATTGTCCGCCACGCCCACGACCTCCCCCCACAGCAGAAGCGCTCACGGCAGCAGCAAGTGCGACAGCTGCAGCGGGGCCGGCGGGAGGGTGGGCGGGGACGGTTGCTCGGGCACGACGAGCGGAACAAAGGGCCATAACGGAGGCACGACGAAGCAGCGACAGGGCAGCATCGCTGCGAACGACGGGGCAACAAGGCAGCGCGACGAGCAGAGCGCCGCCTTCGCCCCTTGATCGCGCTGACGGTCAAGACCGTCGCGGATTTCAACGCGACGGTTGCACTGACGGCACTATCGCAGCAGAAATTCGTTGGGAGGTAGGGCCGTCATGAGAGGGTCGAAAATCGGTGGGCCCATTGAAAAAAAAACTAGCTCGATACCATGTTAAATTAGTAGATTAAGCTTAGGGCGTGTCCAACTTGTTCATTTACTGTTCGTAAATCCCTACAGTTACCACATTTTGCGTTTTAAAAAAATGCCAGACACGTTCAGCTCCCGTTCTCGATATGGCACACCCCCTGCACGTACCTCGAATCGTGTGATGCACGTTACACGAATCAGCGTGCGCATCGAACAATGATACAGCACCGCGTCCTGCCCACTATAGTGAGTGCCCATCGTATCGCACGCACGATTTCGCAAGTGCCGCCTGACACTCGCTAAAACCACCTGCGCTCTGGCAAAAATTCCCTTGCTTTGGTTGACGAGGGAACAGGTTACCGCGGTTTCCGCGTGGCCTTTGCACTATTGAAGTCTGTGTGGGGGGAATGTGTACGCGCGCTAGAATCGAAAAAAAGGGTGGACTCGAAACACTGCAAATTCGTTTACAGGTACAGTGATCAGTTTTGAGCTGCCGATCGTGAGGAGGTACTAAATTCCCCGAAGTGAACGAGCTGGACTCCCCCTTAGGCACTATGGCTAGGGTTTCGGCAAGGAGAGAGTGGCGAGAGGGATGTTTGACCAACAAAAGAGGTTGTTCACTATAGAGCAAGCAGTACAAACAGGAAAATTCTATAACTACAGTAACCCATCCTACATGCTGTTACATATAGAAAATATGAACTTTTATTTTCGGGCAGTGTTGGTGCATGGTGATGGTGATGATGGTGATGGTGATAGTAATGCTGCCTATGGTGTAGTTGTACTGGCTATGCTGATAAGATTCAGGGATTAGGAATAAGGGTTATTATTGCTCAGAGGTTTCAGAATTAGATTTTCAGGGTTAAGGAATTAAAGTTCAAGGGTTTAGAGTTAAGGGCTCAAGGTTCAAAGGTTTAGAAATCAAGGTTCAAAGTGTCAAGATTCTAGGCAAGAATGAATGCATTGAAAGGAGAACAAGAGTACAAGTACCTAACCCTAATGGGGTTGTACCCTATATTGTCTACCCCACTACAGCCTACCAACACAATATTTTTACACACCCCCATAGGCAAAGTGGGGGAGAACAAGGGGTCACAAGACCAGTCCACAAAAGTAAAGCAAGCCCAGGGTGGATCACAACGTCACCACACTCTGAACACAAGCAAAGGCCACAAGGCTAGTTCACATGCAGAGCTATATATATAGAACAAGACAAGCAACACAGTGATCAAAACCTAGCAAGCAAGCAGCGATATATATAAATCACAGTACAAAGAAAGTCAAGCAGTAAGCAAATGAGGTAATGTGGACACAAGGCCTAACGCAGTACAGTGCCGCTGATGATCACTAGGCGGAAGCGCCTTGGTGAAGACATCAGCAGTGTTGGCCTTCGAGTCCACGTACACAAGACGAAGCTGACCACGCTGCTGCAGCTCTCGAGCAAGAAAGTAGCGAAGAGCAATGTGCTTCGTTCTGTGCTCCAGTCTGTGCTCCTAACACAAGGCAAGGGCCGCCTTGTTGTCTCCGTACAGAACTGGAGGAGAACTAGGCCGCTCTCCCAAGTCAGTCAGCAGGTAGGTGAGCCAGCGTAACTCCTATGCAGCCATGGCGGTGGCGTAGATCTCAGCCTCACAACTGGAGCTGAGAACAGAAGAAGAGCGGGTGGACCGCCAAGAGACAGAACCAGAGCCAAGGTTGAAAGTGTAACCCTGTGACGACCGCTGTGTAGCCAGGTCGTCAACCCAAGAAGCGTCTGAGTGACCAGTGAGGGCAACTCTGTCGCGTCCTCCAAGCACCAGCCCCATGCCTGATGTACTGCACAAGTAGCGCAGCACCCTCTTAGCAGCCTCCCAGTGCTCTCGCCTGTGTCTCCCAGGCGCAACGTAACGAGTAAGGATGCTAAGAGGGTACGCGAGGTCAGGTCGCGTGCAAGTCATCAAGTACATGAGGCAGCCTACAAGCTCTGGGTACGGGCCACTCGGCTCTACGGACTCGTCCGAAGGTGGAGCTGAGAGCGAGTGACTGGTAGCCAGAGGTGTGGCCTGTGGTGAGGAGAACTGGAAGCCGAAGCGCTGAAGGACCTGCTGCACCATGTGTGACTGAGTCAGGGTAATGGTGCGGCGTGCTCTGTCCCGGGTGATCTGCAAGCCAAGGTAGCTGCGCAGCTCACCCAGGTCAGTGCAGGTGTGTCTCTTCTGCAGCTCCGACTTCACACGAGCGAGTGCCTCAGTGTCAGCAGTGACAAAGACCAAGTCGTCGACGTACACGAGGATGTAAAACGGCGGCAGCGACGTGTCTGTGCGCAGGAACAGTGACGGGTCAGCAGTGGAAGGAGCAAACCCAAGGGCCGCAAGTGTAGTCCTCAGTGTGTCGTGCCACTCGCGCGGCGCCTGGCGGAGACCGTAGACTGGCCGCCGAAGGCTCCACTGGGTACCAGGAGGGAACGACCCAGTGAAGCCAGGAGGGCGGCGCAGCCAGATCTCCTCGTGGAGGCTGCCCTGCAAGAAAGCTGTGCTGAAGTCAAGAGAGTGCAGCTCGTAGTCACGCTGAGCGGCAATGTGCAGCAACACCCGAAGAGTGGTCATCTTCGGGGTGGGGGAGAAGGTCTGAAAGAAGTCAACTCCCTGTCGCTGACTGAAACCTCTAGCAACGTAACGAGCCTTGAAGACAGGCGGAGAACCCGGCGGCCGCTTCACCCTGAAAATCCACATGCCATCGACGATGTTCGCCCCTGGAGGGGGAACCTCGTCGACGTAGGTGCCTGTGGACTTCCAGGATGCCATCTCTGCGTCCATGGCTGTCTGCCACTGAGAGGAGTAGGGACCCGAGATCGCCTCTGCGTAAGAGCGCGGAGTGGGGATGTCTAGTGCATCCGGGTCTCCCTCAGGGGCAAGCAGCATGGCCACGAGATGAGGTACAGCAGCCGCAAGAGAGTCAAAGTCCTCCTGCCTGTCCTCAAGGACGTCCGTGCCAAGAGCACACTCACCCCCGACGGGCGGAGGACAGACAGACTCAGACTCAGCAACAAGACTGGCAGTGTAGTCTAGACGACAGACAGCAGCAAAGTCAACAAGCTCAGCGACCAGGGCAGACGCAGCAGCCGACTCAAAAGACGGGTCAGTGACAGCAGTGGCTAACAGACGCGTGATGGTAGGGTGCTCAGCACGGAAACGGTCAGACGTAGGGTCCGGAACGTCAGGCAAAGAAGACGCAGGAGGAGACGGCAGAGGAACCGACTGTGGTACAGAGGAGGGACGACGGACGACAAGGCGAGAACCAGCAACAGGCGGCGAACGCTGGTGCGAGACGCGGCGAGCGGAACGACCAGAACGAACAGGCGAGACAGGACGCGACGCAGGCTCACGACGCTCAGTAAGACCCCCTGACTGCTCAGTGTAAGGAGAAGGAGCAGGCAAGGGCGAGCCAGGCAGTAACGGAAGACCAGTAGAAGACGGAAGACTAAGAACCTGGCGAAGGACAGAGTCAGACGGCGGCAGAGACGACGGCGACGGCGGAGCGAAGAACAGGCGCGACTGTACAGTACCGCCAGCACCAGCAGCTCCAGCACCTCCAGCGACACCACCACCCCCAGTGTCAGCTCCTCCAGGACTGTCCCCACTAGCAGCAGCACCCCCAGAACCAGCACCTCCTTTCCCAGGGTCTCCAGTCGCAGCGTCCCCAATGGTAGCACCCTCAGACACAGCACCACCAGCCCCAGCAGCTCGAGTACCAGCGGTACGAGCACCTCCGGGACCAGCGACGGGAGTACCTCCAGGAGACAACGAACCAGCACCACTCTCAGCTCCAGGGGCGGCAGTAGAGGCACCACCAGCAGTAGAGCCCGGAGCTCCAGGAGGGCGACGCTGACGGCGACCGAACCAGTCGTGCAGCTGCTGGGAGGTGAGAGGAACACGCGAACGAAGGCGGCCAGTCCAGGGCGCAGCCTCCACTGGCGACGCACCCCCAGACTCAGCACCCCCAGACGCAGCACACCCAGACCCCTCAAGCACAGGCTCAGCTCCCTCAGACGGAGCACCGCGACAACGAGCAGCTCCAGCTCCTCCAGTACCTCCAGCTCCAGTGTCTCCAGCTCCAGTGGCACCAGGCTCAGGACCTCCAGAACAACCAGCTCCGGCAGCCGCAGTACCTCCAGGACTAGCACCCCCAGAACCAGCAGCTGCAGCACCGCCAGAACCTCCAGCACCAGTGTCCCCAGTCTCAGCGCCTCCAGCTCCAGCTGCACCACGCGGAAGGCGAAAGCGCCGGATGTACCACTCACGGAGCTGCCGATGTGTGAGAGGCTCCCGGAGAGGCGACTCAACACCCTGAGCACCCCCAGACGCAGCAACTCGAGTCACAGCACCCCCAGGCCCCGCACCCACGGTCCCAGCACCCCCAGGCTCCGCACCCCCAGGCTCAACACCCCCAGGCTCAGCACCCCCAGGCTCAGCACCCCCAGGCACAGCACCCCCAGGCTCAGCAACCCTAGCAGCACCACCCGCAGCAGCACCTGAGTCACCTGTGACCTCGACAGGCTCAGCGACGGGAGGAGGGTCTACCTGAGAGACACCTGAAGGAGCAGGACCCTGAGGGGGAAGGGGGTCTACCGGAGGGGGACCTGGAGCAAGGAAAAGCAGCGGGGGGGGAGGGAGGGGGGCAGTGCGGTAGGGGAAGAGACGGTAAAAAGGAACCGACTCGTCAAAGGTGACGTCCTGAGAGGCGAAGACCCGGCGCGAGGTGGGGTGGTAAAACTGCCAGCCTGGCGCGTCAGGGACAAAGCCAAGGAAGACACAGGGAAGTGTGCGGGAGGAGAGCTTGTCCGCGGAAGTATCGCGGACAAGGGCACGAGAACCCCACACCCGGAAGCGCGACGCATCGCCGACCTCCCCCGTCCAACGCAGTGTGGGCGAGGTCTCCGGCAAGGAGACACGGGGCCAGAGGTTGAGCTGATGCGCAGCGTACCGGACAGCAAACGGCCACAGAAAATGGGGAGCCGCCGCATGAACCAAGGAGGTACGAGCGACCTCCATGACCAGGCCAATGCGGCGCTCTGCAACCCCATTCTGCTGCGGGGAGCCCGGAAGCGTGAAGGACTGCTCGATGCCCTCCGCCTGACAGAAGGCCCTCAAGAGGTCAGAGGAGAACTCACCACCTCTGTCAGAGTGCAGACGCAGGACAGGAAGCTCTGTCCTGAACCGGCGGCGGAGCTGGAGACGAACTGTGCGGATCCAAGGGATCAGAACAGCAGGGACCTCACCCTTGGTGCGCAAGGGGAAGACCGTGGTGTAACGCGAGTAGTCGTCGACAACCAGCAGAAAGTACCGCTCACCGCCCTGTCCACGGACGCGGGCTGGGCCCCACACGTCCAGGTGGAGGGTCTGCAGAGGAGCCTCGGTCGGGGGAAACGAGGAGGAGTGAGGAGCGGCGCGCTGCCGCCTCTCGACGCAAGGAAGGCAAGGCGGCGCAGGCAAGGCAGGGAGGGGAGGGAGAGACCGGGGAAGACCGGACACAAGGTGACGACGGTGCATGCCACGAAGGCGCGGCAAGGAGGGGTGACCCAGGCGGTGGTGCCAGAGAAGGGTCTGGTGCGACAGGGAGCGACACTCACAGGGGTGGGCTACTAGACCTGACGCAGACACCTGACCAACAGCAGCGACCTGAGGAGACACAGTGGTCAGTGTGTAGAGACTCGACCCCGGCTGACGAGTGAACGTAGCCAGGTGACGGCCAGTCCTGGAGCACGTGAGGATCGCCACACGCTGTCCTCCAGGGGTGAAGGTGTCAACCCAGTGATCCTGGATAACAGCGTTGCTCACCAAGTTCGTAGAGAACGAGGGGAGGTGGAAACCCGACAACGAGCCAGACGGAACCGCCGGACAGGGAAGCACAGTGGTAGACCGTGCAAGAACTGGACCCCCGGAGGGGTCAGCCAGGGAGACTGGAACTGGTGCAGGGAGGGGAGTGAGCTCAGTACTGTCACGAAAGAAGGAGCGGGAGGCACCTGAGTCAAGCGTGAAGGGTGCAAAGCCTCAGCGGGCGCAGTACCGGAGAGCGCAGACTCGCTAGCAGGAGGGGGTGTACCGAAGGGAGTAGCCTCGGAAGGCACAGTACCTGAGAGAGCAGACTCGCTGGTACCTAGGGCAGTGGGCTCTATACCTGGGTCAGGCGGCACACACAAGTCACACTCCCCCTCAGCACTAACAGTCAATGCATACATGGCAGCAATAATAGCATCATAATCAAGAGCAAAGATATCAACACCAGCCCTCATCAGATCAGCCCAGCGGGGGCGCTCAACCTCCTCGCCCATCTCCTCACGCCAAGCGTCGTCAAGGCGGGAGAAGCAGCGGTACTGGGTGTGGAACCTCCCACACTTCTGCCCCTTGCGTTCACCTGTGCGAATGACATAGGAACAGCGACCACTGCCTCTCGGCGTCCCACGCTGAGCAAGCCACTCACGGAGCTGCTGGGTCGTCTGAGGACGCTGCTGCTGCTGAGAGGTCTGGCCCGAGCTGGGGCCTACACTCCGACCACCACCGCCGCCACTACCGCCGCTCCGACCGCCACCGCCGTCGCCGCCACCGCCACCACTGCCACCGCCGCTGCCACCGCCGCCACCGCTGCCACCACTCCCGCCGCCGCCCCCGCCCCCACCGCTGCCTCCACTCCCACCAGCACTCCCGCCACCGCTCCTTCCGGCACCGCCTCCCCCCCCACCTCCCCCACCCCCTCCCCCCCCAGCGCCACCCCCGCCACCCTTGCCCCCCTTGCCCTTGCCGGTGCGGCGCCTCCCACCAGGAGCAGAAGCAGCGCCAGCAGACTCAGCACCAAGGAGGTCAACAGCAGCAGCAGTAGCGTAGGAGGGAGCGAGGGGAGAGGGAGAACACCCCTCAAAGATGGGGGTGCGAGGAGCGCCACGAGCAGCACCTACAGCTACAATGCTCTTCTCGGCTGCTAGCAGCTTCTCCTCTAGGAGGGCGACTGTGAGCTCAGTGGGACAGCGGGCAAGGAAGTAGTCTCGGACTGAGCTGAGGGTGTCAGGGAGACGGGTGACTATGAAATGGAGCGTCCAGTACAGTGGAGGGGGGTTCTTAGCGCAGAACTCGGTGGGAAGGGCGGCACGCAGGCGAGCGTCACTAGTGCGAAGGTGGGTGATGAGATCGGCGACTGTAGCAAAGGTGGACAGCTCAGGGAACAGGTAAGGCAGCATGAGGCGGCTAAGCTCGGCTGTGGCAGGTGAGGAGTAGCGAGCAACGACAGCGTCGTACAGGGCCTTAGCGGTTTTGCAGTTGACAAAGTGCTCTAGCTCAGCGAACGGCAGGTGACTGCGAATAGCCAGGCGAGCTGCAGCGTCACGAGTCTGCCACTGAGAACGTACACTAAGCTCGGCTGTGGCAGCAGGAGCAGCGGCAGCACCAGACGCGTAGTCATAGAGGGAGACGTGGTCCGTGCTATTGCTCATAAGATACAACTGCAGGTCGTCGAGCCAGGAAGTGAACTGCACGGGACGGCCCTCAGCATCGAAGGAAAGAACGCGAATAGAGGCCATAGCTCAGGCGTGAGGGCACAGCAGAGCAGCGGCAGCAGCAGAGGGGACGCGCTAGAGCGAAGCTAGCAGCCGCAGCAGGAGCAAGCGGCGGTGCACGGGCAGGGAGCAACAGGCGAGGCGGGCAGCGCATGCGGGTGCGTGGGGCCGCGGGGCTGCGCGCGTAGGGGAGAAGGGGCGGCCGCGGCAGCAGCAGGGCTGGCGGCGGGCGGGTAGGGCTACGGGCGGGCAGCGCGGCGGGCAGCGCGGCGGGCAGCGCGGCGGACAGCGCGACGGGCAGGCGACGCGGCAGGCAGCGCGACGGCGGGCAGCGCGGCGGGCAGTGCGACGGGCGGGCAGCGCGGCGGGCAGCGCGGCGGGCGGGCAGCGCGGCGTGCAGCGCGACGGGCGGGCAGCGCGGCGAGCGGGCAGCGCAGCGGGCTGCGCGACTGGCGGGCGACGCGGCAGGCAGCGCGACGGCGGGCAGCGCGGCGGGCAGCGCGACGGGCGGGCAGCGCGGCGGGCAGCGCGAAGGGCGGGCAGCTAGGGCGCACGAGGGCGCTAACGAGGGGCGCACGAGGGCGCTAACTGGGGCGCGTGAGGGCGCTAACGAGGGGCGCGCGAGGGCGCAGCGAGGGCGCGCGAGGGCGCTAACGAGGGCGCGCGAGGGCGCTAACGAGGGCGCACGAGGGCGCAGCTAGGGCGCAACGAGGACGCATCGAGGGTAGGGCACGGGGTAGCGTGGTAACCGCATGCGTGCGACGGTGGGCCCTAAAAACAAGATCGCTAGGGACCTCCTGCTCTGAAACCATGTCAAGATTCTAGGCAAGAATGAATGCATTGAAAGGAGAACAAGAGTACAAGTACCTAACCCTAATGGGGTTGTACCCTATATTGTCTACCCCACTACAGCCTACCAACACATTATAATTTAACACAAAGGCCTAAGGCTTAGCTTAGGGATTAGGTATAGGGAGGTTAGGGCTGAAGGTTTAGGGTTTCGGATGGTGATTGTGCTGGAGTTGTCTCAACCTTTATCACTGGCTGCTCGTGGTGGTGCTGCTGGTGGTGGTGCTGCTGGTGGTGGTGCTGGTGGTGGTGCTGGTGGTGGTGCTGGTGGTGGTGCTGCTGTCAGAACATTGTGTTGTGTAGGCTGTAGTGGGGTAGCCTGTATGGGGTACAACCCAATTAGGGTTAGTACTTGTACTCAACCCTTTCATAGTTCATTCATTCTCCTGCTAGATTCTGACATGGTATCAGAGCAGGTCCTGTTCCAGGACCGTTTTTTTTTTTTTAGGGCCCATCGTACAATTCCCTGCCCGTAGTGCGTTACCCTGCTCGTAGCGCCCTACTTTGTCCGTGGCGCAGCCCCACCAGTCGCGCTCCCCTGCCCGCGCGCCTCCCTGCTGGCTGCCACGCTACATTGCCCTGCCCTGTGTTGCGCTGCCCAGCGCGCACTCTGCCCTGCCCTGCGTTGCGCTGCCCCGTGCGCGCCCTGCCCTGCGTCACACCGCCCGCGCGCGCCTGGCCCTGCCCCGCGTCGCGCCGCCCCACGCACGCCCAGCCCGCGCGCCGCCCCTGGCAGCCCGCGCGCCGCCCTTGCAGCCCGCGTGCCACCCTTTGCAGCCCGCGCGCTGCCCTTTTCTGCCCACGCGCCGCCCTTGCAGCCCGCGCACCGCCCCTGGCAGCCCGCGCGCCGCCCTTACAGCCTGCGCGCTGCCCCTTGCAGCCCGCGCGCTGCCCTTTCCTGCCCGTGCGCCGCCCTTGCAGCTCGCGCACCGCCCCTGGCAGCCCGCGCGCCACCCTGGCAGCCCGCGCGGGCCCTTTGCAGCATGTGCGCTGCCCCTTGCCTGCCCGTGCGCCCTCCCCTGCCCACGCGCTGCCCTACTTGCAGCGCGCCGCCCTGCTCTGGCCGCGCGCTGCCCTTACCTGACCGTGCGCCGCCCTTCCCTGACCGTGCGCCGCCCCGCCCTACCCTACGCGCTAACCCTAGTGCCTGCTTGCCGCCCTGCCTTCCCTGCGTGCTGCCCTGCTGGTCGCACGCCTCCTTGCTTTGCCCGCTATGACTTCTCTTCGTGGTAGCGGTGGGAGTGGTGGCGGCGGTGGTGGCAGCAGTGGGAGTGGTGGCGGCGGTTGTAGTGGCAGTCACGGTGAAGCTGTTCAGTGGGGAGTTTCTGGCAGTGGCCAGATGCAGCTGCAGCGGCGTCCGCGCGAGACCCTTACGTCCCAGCAGCTTCGTGAGTGGTACGCTCAGCGTGGGGCATCTCGGAGTAATTCTCGCTGCCCGTACGTCACTCCACAGGTGATCGGGCTGGTCAGACTTGCGGGACAGTTGGCCACACACAGTCCCGCTGCTTCTCCTGTCTGAGCGACGCCTGGCGCGCAGAGTTTGGCGACGAGGCTGAGCTCCCCCGCTGGCTAGAGCTGCTTCGGAACAATGTGGATATATTTGCTCTAGACTTTGACGCTATCCTTACTGCCATGTATGCTTTGACTGTTGGTACTGAGGGTGACTGTTACCTGTGTGTGCCGCCCGACCCTGGTATAGAGGCTGCTGCTCTAGGTGCTAGTGAGTCTGCTCTCTCTGGTACTGCTCCTGCTGAGGCCTTGCACACCTTCACGCTTGACTCAGGTGCTTCCCGCTGCTTCTTTCGCGACAGTACCACAGTCACACCACTCCCTGCACCTGTTGCAGTCTCTCTGGCTGACCCCTCCGGGGGCCCAAATCTTGCACGTTCCTCCACTGTTCTCCCGTGTCCGGCGGTTCCGTCTGGCTCACTGACAGGTCTTCACCTCCCCTCGTTCTCTACGAACTTGGTGATTAACACCGTCCTTCAGGATGCTTGGGTTAATACCTTTATCCTTGGAGGACAGCGTTCGGCGATCTGCACGTGTGCACGGACGGGCCGTCACCTGGCCACGTTCACCCGTCGGCCTGGGTCGAGCCTGTACACACTGACTACTGAGCCTACTCAAGTCGCTACGTCTGGTCAGGTGTCAGTGTCCGGTCAGCTATCAGCCCCTTGTTCGTGTCGCCTCCTCTCGCACCAGACTAAACTCTGGCACCACCGCCTTGGTCACCCCTCCCTGCCACGCCTCCATGGCATGCACTCCCGCCTCCTTGTCTCTGGCCTTCCCAGGTCTCTGCCCCACCTCCCGCGCTCGCCTTCCTCGCCCTGCCTTCCTTGCGTCGAGGGGCGGCAGCGCGCCGCTCCTCACTCCTCCTCGTTTCCCCCGACAGAGGCTCCCCTGCAGACTCTCCACATGGACGTATGGGGCCCAGCCCGCGTCCAGGGACAGGGCCGCGAGCGATACTTTCTGCTGGTTGTCGACGACTACATGCGTTACACCACGGTCTTCCCCTTGCACAGCAAGGGGGAGGTCCCTGATGTTTTGATCCCCTGGATCCGCGCTGTCCGTCTCCAGCTCCGCGAGCGGTTCCGCACGGACCTTCCTGTCCTGCGTCTGCACTTTGACAGAGGTGGTGAGTTCTCCTCCGACCTCTTTTCGGGACTTTTGTCGTGGGGAGGGCATCCTCCAGTCGTTCACGCTTCCGGCCTCCCCACAGCAAAATGGGATTGCTGAGCACCGCATTGGCTTAGTCATGGAGGTGGCTCGTACCTCCATGATCCATGCGGCTGCTCCCCATTTTCTGTGGGCGTTTGCAGTCCAGTACGCTGCGCATTAGCTCAACCTCTGGCCCCGTGTCTCCTTGCTGGAGACCTCGCCTACACTCAGTTGGACGGGGGAGGTTGGTGATGCGTCGGTGTTCCCCCCGCCGCTCTTCCTCGTGCCAGGTCCCCCTCCGGTAGACCCCCTCCCCCCTCAGGGTCCTGCTCCTTCAGGTGTCTCTCAAGTAGACCCACTTCCCCTGGCTGAGCCTATCAAGGTCACTGGTGACTCTGGTGCTGCTGGGGGTGGTGCTGCTAGGGGTGCTGAGCCTGTGGGTGCGGAGCCTAGGGGTGGTGAGCCTGAGTGTGGGGAGCCTGGGGGTGTTGAGCCTGAGGGTACGGAGTCTGGGGGTGCTGAGCCTGGGGGTGCTGAGCCTAGTGGTACTGCGTCTACCCGACGGGAGCCTCTCTCACCATAGCAGCTGCGTGAGTGGTTTGCTCGGCGCACCCGCCTTCGGAGTCGTGCTGCTGGAGCTGGAGGCACTGGCGCTGGAGGCACTGGAGCTGGAGGCGCTGGAGCTGCAGGCGCTCGAGCTGGAGGCGCTGGCGCTGGAGGCACTAACACTGGAGGTGCTGGAGCTGGAGGCACTGGAGCTGGAGGCACTGGCGCTTGAGGCGTTGGAGGTGCTGGAGGCACTGGAGCTGGAGGCGCTGGAGCTGGAGGTGCTAGCGCTGGAGGCGCTGGTGCTGGAGGCACTGGAGCTGGAGGCGCTGGAGCTGCAGGCGCAGGAGCTGGAGGCGCTGGCGCTGGAGGCACTGACGCTGGAGGTGCTGGAGCTGGAGGCACTGGAGCTGGAGGCACTGGCGCTGGAGGCGCTGGAGCTGGAGGCACTGGAGCTGGAGGCGCTGGAGCTGGAGGCGCTGGAGCTGGAGGTGCTGGAGCTGGAGGCGCTGGCGCTGGAGGCACTGACGCTGGAGGTGCTGGCGCTGTGGGCACTGGAGCCGGAGGCGCTGGGGCTAGAGGCCCTGGAGCTGGAGGCGCTGCCGCTGGAGGTACTGGTGCTGGAGGTACTGGAGGTACTGGGGTTGCTAGTCCTGGAGGCACTGTGGAGCCTCTCTCCCCACAGCAGCTGCGTGAGTGGTTTGCTCGGCGCACCCGCCTTCGGCATCGCGCTGCTGGAGCTGGAGACGCTGGAGCTGGAGGCGCTGGAGCTGGAGGCACTGGAGCTGGAGGCACTGGAGCTGGAGGCGCTGGAGCTGCAGACGCTGGAGCTGGAGGTGCTGGCGCTGGAGGTGCTGGAGCTGGAGGCACTGGAGCTGGAGGCGCTGGAGCTGGAGGCGCTGGAGCTGGAGGCACTAGAGCTGGAGGCACCGGAGCTGGAGGTGCTGGAGCTGGGGGCCCTGTGCAGCAGCGCCCGTTTTTCTTGCCGCCGCCGCAGCTGAACTCACTACCGCCCGAGTCGGTGCTCCGTCAGGTTCTTAGTCTTCCTTCGTCCACTGCCCTTCCTCCAGACTCACCAGTGCCTGCCCCCCCTCGTTACATTGACCAGCCAGTCTCCCTTACAGAGCGTCGTGAGCCTGCGTCTCGTCCTGCCTCCCCTGTTCGCACTGTTCGCCGTGCTCGTCGTGTCCCTCGTCCGCGTCCTCCTCCTGTGCCAGGTACTCACACTATGGCACTTCGTCCTTCCTCTGTTCGGCATCGTGTCCCCCTGCCGTCTCCTCCTGCGTCCTCTCTTCCTGACGTCCCAAACCCTGCGTCCGACTTGGTTCGTGCTGCCAGCCCCACTGTCACGCGTCTCCTGGCCACAGTCGTCACTGACCCGTCGTTTGAGTCTACTGCTGTGTCTGCCTTAGTTGCTGAGCTTGTGGACTTTGCTGCTGCGTGTCGTCTAGACTACGCCACTAGTCTTGTTGCTGAGCCTGAGCCTGTGTGTCCTCCGTCCGTCGGGGGTGAGTGTGCTCTTGGCACGGACGTCCTTGAGGACAGGCAGGAGGACTTTGAGTGTCTTGCGGCTGCTGTACCTCATCTCGTGGCCTGGCTGCTTGCACCTGAGGGAGACCCGGATGCACTGGACATCCCGACCCCACGCTCTTACGCAGAGGCGATTTCGGGTCCCTACTTCTCTTAGTGGGAGACAGCCATGGACGCAGAGATGGCATCCTGGAAGTCCACATGCACTTACGTCGACGCAGTTCCCCCTCCTTGGGCGAACATAGTCGATGGCATGTGGATTTTCAGGGTGAAGCGGTCGCCGGGTTCTCCACCTGTCTTCAAGGCTCGTTACGTTGCACGAGGCTTCAGTCAGCGATAGGGAGTTGACTTCTTCCAGACCTTCTCCCCTACCCCGAAGATGACCACTCTTCGGGTGCTGCTGCACGTTGCCGCACAGCGTGACTACGAGCTTCACTCTCTTGACTTCAGCACAACTTTCTTACAGGGCAGCCTGCACGAGGAGATATTGCTGCGTCGCCCACCTGGTTTCACTGGGTCGTTTCCTGCAGGTACCCAATGGAGCCTCCGGCGGCCAGTCTACGGTCTCCGCTAGGCGCCTCGTGAGTGGCACGGCACACTGAGGACGACACTCGGGTTTGCTCCTTCGACTGCTGACCCGTCGCTGTTTCTGCGCACAGACACTTCGCTGCCGCCGTTCTACATCCTCGTATACGTCGACGACTTGGTTTTTACCACTGTTGACACTGAGGCACTGGCCCTTGTGAAGTCGGAGCTGCAAAAGAGACACACGTGCACTGACCTGGATGAGCTTGCAGATCACCCAGGACAGTGCACGGCGCACCACCACCCTGACTTAGTCCCACATGGTGCAGCAGGTTCTTTAACGCTTCGGCTTCCAGTTCTCCTCGCCACAGTCCACTCTTTTGCCCACAGGTCACTCGCTCTCAGCTCCACCTTCGGACGAGTCCGTAGAGCCGAATGGCCCGTATCCAGAGCTTGTCGGCTGCCTCATGTACCTGATGACCTGCACTCGACCTGACCTTGCGTACCCTCTTAACGTCCTGACTCGCTACGTTGCGCCTGGGAGACACAGGCGAGAGCACTAGGAGGCTGCTAAGAGGATGCTGCGCTACTTCTGCAGTACATCAGACATGTGGCTTCTGCTTGGAGGGCAGGGTCGAATTGTCCTCAATGGTCACTCATACGCCTCTTGGGTTGACGACCTGGCTACGCAGCGGTCGTCACAGGGTTACACTTTCAGCCTTGGCTCCGGCTCTAATTCTTGGCGTTCTACTCGCTCGTCTTCTGTTCTCAGCTCCAGTTGTGAAGCTGAGATCTACGCAGGAGCCATGGCTGCTCAGAAGCTGCGCTGGCTCACTTACCTGCTGACTGACTTGGGAGAGCGGCCTAGTTCTCCTCCAGTTCTGTACGTAGACAACAAGGCCGCCATCGCCTTGTGTCAGGAGCACAGACTGGAGCACAGAACGAAACACATTGCTCTGCGTTACTTTCTTGCTCGAGAGTTGCAGCAGCGTGGTCAGCTTCGTCTTGCTTACGTGGCCACCCGGGCCAACACAGCTGATATATTCACCAAGGCACTTCCGCCTGGTGATCATCAACGTTTCTGTACTGTTTTAGGCCTTGTACCTATGTTTTTTCACTTGCTCACTGCATGACTTTGCTTGTACTGTGATATATATATATATATATATATATACCTGCATGCTTACACTTGCTAGGTTGTGATCACTGTACTGTTTGCTCTGATTTATATTAGTCTGCATGTGAACTGGCCTTGTGGCCATTTGCTTGTGCTCGGACTGCGTGGTAAGTTCGTGATCCACCCTGAGCTTTCTTTGCTTCTCTGTTATTGCTTGTACTCCCCCACTTTGCTTTTGGGGTGTGTCAGAACATTGTGTTGTGTAGGCTGTAGTGGGGTAGCCTGTATGGGGTACAACCCAGTTAAGTTAAGTACTTGTACCCAACCCTTTCATAGTTCATTCATTCTCCTGCTAGATTCTGACAGCTGCTGCTGTTGATGTTGCTGCTGCTGTTGGTGTTGCTGATGCTGGCAGTGGTGAAACAGTGGGGCTTGAAGCACTAGGAGGAGGTGAGATGTCTGGTGGTGGTGGGAATGGTTATGGTGGGGATGGTGGTGGTGGGGGTGGGGATGGTGGTGGTGGGGATGGTGGTGGTGGAAATGGTGGTGGTGGGGATGGTGGTGGTGGTCTGGGATGGTGGTGGTGGTGATGGAAATGGGGATGGTGGTGGTGGTGATGGTGGTGGTGGTGGTGGTGGTGGTGATGGTGGTGGTGGTGGTGGTGGTGGTGGTGATGGTGGTGGTGGTGGTGGTGGTGGTGATGGGAATGGGGATGGTGATGGTGGGGATGGGGGTGGTGGGGATGGTGGTGGTGGTATTGCTGTGTGGGAGGGGGAATTGGAATAGAGGGAATGGAAACAGCGAATTAAGGCAGGAAAGAAACACCATAACGATAACATTATTAGTGCAACAAAGAAAAATAGGGAACAAAAATATCTTCTCACGTCAAAGTCATACGATACAAAGGATATTTACCCTAATCTTCAAAATGCACAGATAATTCACCTGAAGCTACCTGACAAACCACCTGAGCAGGGCAAGTATCCCTCTGAGATACAACCTGGAATGAGCAGGTGGGAACTTACGAGGTCTGGGAGGGGGAGCTGGTGAGCGGCGGGAGATGAGGGAAGGGGAGCGGGGAGGGGGAGGAGGGTTGGGAGGAGGGGGGGCGGGAGGGGGTAATGGAGGTGAGGGAGGGGAAGAGGGAGGAGGTGAGGGAGGGGAAGAGGGAGGAGGTGAGGGAGGGGGAGCGGGAGGAGGTGAGGGAGGGGGGGCGGGAGGAGGAGGTGGTGGTGTCGAGGGTGGGAGGGGAGAGGAAGGAGGAGGCAGAAGAGGTGCCAGAGCTGGCTCTTGCGCTGTTGGGGTGAAACAGATGCGAATCGGGGGTTTGAGGAAGGAGAAAGAGAGGGCAGGGAATTTTTTTTAGTCGAGAAGCTGGGAAGGGGGAATAGGCAGAAACAGCGAAGCATGGAGAGTTATGAGCAACGAAACAAAATGAGCGGTGATGAACAGGGAAACAAGATGAACAGCAAAACACGATGAGCAGTGAAACACGGTGAACAGCTACAAGGATGATGAGCCGCGAACCGCGGTGAACAGAGAAACACTGGTGAACAGGGTGTAGGTTCGGTTGCAGGAATTGTTGGTTCTTGAGATTTCTCCAAGAACAGGGCCTTGCACAAACCAGTTCAAAGTAAGCCCTTGTTCTTTGAGAAATCTGATCGCACTAAGAGAAATGAAAAATCTTGAGAAACCAACAATCTTGAGAAACCAACAAATCTTGAGAAATCTCAAGAACAAGGTCTGGCACAAACGGGTACAAACTTGGGTGAAACAGTTTGCTCGCAAGAGAGAGCGTCAATGCACAAGATAGGCATGCATGATACATAACTTGGGTGAAGTAAAGGGCTGCACCTACACCTAACCCTATTGCAGGGTTACAATCCACTTCTTTTGTTCTGTTTGTTCTTCGGTGAAGAACACTGTTTATCATATGTATACATCCGCAGCTTTGATTGTGCAGCCGATTTCTTACCCATTGGAGGGTTGGACGGACCCATACGTAACAAGCCCTAGCATGTTAATTGCTCTTCCAAGAATTTCTGAAGTGCCCTGGATGGTGGTGGTAGTGTGCGGGCGGCGGTGTTTGGGCGGTATTGTGCGGGCGGTATTGTGCGGGCGGCATTGTGCGGGCGGCATTGTGCGGGCGGCATTGCGCGGGTGGCATTGCGCGGGCAGCATTGTGCGGGCGGCATTGTGCGAGCAGCAATATAGGCACAGACCCATTGTCCTCTTGCCCTCCTGCCCTCTTGCCCTCCTGCCCTCTTGCACACACACAAAGCCGTTAGGTTCTTAAGAAACCGCCACGAACCATGTTGTGTGCACCCACCCATACCTTTCCCTTGAAGATCCAAAGCTCTCATGCATACATACATATAATGTCAGGTGCAGGTCTGTCACCATACCTGCTATTAGCAGGTCCGTCACAGTACCTGTTATCAAAAGGTACGTTTCTCTCATTCATACATACCTGTTATTAGCAGAACCGTCACCGTACCTGTTATCGAAAGGTATGTTTCTCTCATTCATACATACCTGCGGAAGGTGGCAGTGGGGTGGCGGTACGGGTGGTGGTAGGGATTGGGTTGGGGGTGAAGGTGGTGGCGGCGAGAGGAGGAGGAGGAGGAGGAGGAGGAGGAGGGGGAGGAGGAGGAGGAGGAGGAGGAGGGGGAGGAGGAGGAGACGGAGGAGGAGGGGGAGAGGGAGGAGGAGGAGACGGGGAGGGTAAGCTGCAAGGGAGAGAAGGGGTTGAAAATGAAAGAATGGAATCGGAAGGGGTCAAAAATGAAAGAAGGGGATCGGAAGGGGTCGAAAATGAAAGAAGGGGATCGGAAGGGGTCGAAAATGAAAGAAGGGGATCGGAAGGGGTCGAAAATGAAAGAAGGGGATCGGAAGGGGTCGAAAATGAAAGAAGGGGATCGGAAGGGGTCGAAAATGAAAGAAGGGGATCGGAAGGGGTCGAAAATGAACGAAGGGGATCGGAAGGGGTCGAAAATGAAAGAAGGGGATCGGAAGGGGTCGAAAATGAACGAAGGGGATCGGAAGGGGTCGAAAATGAACGAAGGGGATCGGAAGGGGTCGAAAATGAACGAAGGGGATCGGAAGGGGTCGAAAATGAACGAAGGGGATCGGAAGGGGTCGAAAATGAACGAAGGGGATCGGAAGGGGTCGAAAATGAACGAAGGGGATCGGAAGGGGTCGAAAATGAACGAAGGGGATCGGAAGGGGTCGAAAATGAACGAAGGGGATCGGAAGGGGTCGAAAATGAACGAAGGGGATCGGAAGGGGTCGAAAATGAACGAAGGGGATCGGAAGGGGTCGAAAATGAACGAAGGGGATCGGAAGGGGTCGAAAATGAACGAAGGGGATCGGAAGGGGTCGAAAATGAACGAAGGGGATCGGAAGGGGTCGAAAATGAACGAAGGGGATCGGAAGGGGTCGAAAATGAACGAAGGGGATCGGAAGGGGTCGAAAATGAACGAAGGGGATCGGAAGGGGTCGAAAATGAACGAAGGGGATCGGAAGGGGTCGAAAATGAACGAAGGGGATCGGAAGGGGTCGAAAATGAACGAAGGGGATCGGAAGGGGTCGAAAATGAACGAAGGGGATCGGAAGGGGTCGAAAATGAACGAAGGGGATCGGAAGGGGTCGAAAATGAACGAAGGGGATCGGAAGGGGTCGAAAATGAACGAAGGGGATCGGAAGGGGTCGAAAATGAACGAAGGGGATCGGAAGGGGTCGAAAATGAACGAAGGGGATCGGAAGGGGTCGAAAATGAACGAAGGGGATCGGAAGGGGTCGAAAATGAACGAAGGGGATCGGAAGGGGTCGAAAATGAACGAAGGGGATCGGAAGGGGTCGAAAATGAACGAAGGGGATCGGAAGGGGTCGAAAATGAACGAAGGGGATCGGAAGGGGTCGAAAATGAACGAAGGGGATCGGAAGGGGTCGAAAATGAACGAAGGGGATCGGAAGGGGTCGAAAATGAACGAAGGGGATCGGAAGGGGTCGAAAATGAACGAAGGGGATCGGAAGGGGTCGAAAATGAACGAAGGGGATCGGAAGGGGTCGAAAATGAACGAAGGGGATCGGAAGGGGTCGAAAATGAACGAAGGGGATCGGAAGGGGTCGAAAATGAACGAAGGGGATCGGAAGGGGTCGAAAATGAACGAAGGGGATCGGAAGGGGTCGAAAATGAACGAAGGGGATCGGAAGGGGTCGAAAATGAACGAAGGGGATCGGAAGGGGTCGAAAATGAACGAAGGGGATCGGAAGGGGTCGAAAATGAACGAAGGGGATCGGAAGGGGTCGAAAATGAACGAAGGGGATCGGAAGGGGTCGAAAATGAACGAAGGGGATCGGAAGGGGTCGAAAATGAACGAAGGGGATCGGAAGGGGTCGAAAATGAACGAAGGGGATCGGAAGGGGTCGAAAATGAACGAAGGGGATCGGAAGGGGTCGAAAATGAACGAAGGGGATCGGAAGGGGTCGAAAATGAACGAAGGGGATCGGAAGGGGTCGAAAATGAACGAAGGGGATCGGAAGGGGTCGAAAATGAACGAAGGGGATCGGAAGGGGTCGAAAATGAACGAAGGGGATCGGAAGGGGTCGAAAATGAACGAAGGGGATCGGAAGGGGTCGAAAATGAACGAAGGGGATCGGAAGGGGTCGAAAATGAACGAAGGGGATCGGAAGGGGTCGAAAATGAACGAAGGGGATCGGAAGGGGTCGAAAATGAACGAAGGGGATCGGAAGGGGTCGAAAATGAACGAAGGGGATCGGAAGGGGTCGAAAATGAACGAAGGGGATCGGAAGGGGTCGAAAATGAACGAAGGGGATCGGAAGGGGTCGAAAATGAACGAAGGGGATCGGAAGGGGTCGAAAATGAACGAAGGGGATCGGAAGGGGTCGAAAATGAACGAAGGGGATCGGAAGGGGTCGAAAATGAACGAAGGGGATCGGAAGGGGTCGAAAATGAACGAAGGGGATCGGAAGGGGTCGAAAATGAACGAAGGGGATCGGAAGGGGTCGAAAATGAACGAAGGGGATCGGAAGGGGTCGAAATGAACGAAGGGGATCGGAAGGGGTCGAAAGTGAACGAAGGGGATCGGAAGGGGTCGAAAGTGAACGAAGGGGATCGGAAGGGGTCGAAAGTGAACGAAGGGGATCGGAAGGGGTCGAAAATGAACGAAGGGGATCGGAAGGGGTCGAAAATGAACGAAGGGGATCGGAAGGGGTCGAAAATGAACGAAGGGGATCGGAAGGGGTCGAAAATGAACGAAGGGGATCGGAAGGGGTCGAAAATGAACGAAGGGGATCGGAAGGGGTCGAAAATGAACGAAGGGGATCGGAAGGGGTCGAAAATGAACGAAGGGGATCGGAAGGGGTCGAAAATGAACGAAGGGGATCGGAAGGGGTCGAAAATGAACGAAGGGGATCGGAAGGGGTCGAAAATGAACGAAGGGGATCGGAAGGGGTCGAAAATGAACGAAGGGGATCGGAAGGGGTCGAAAATGAACGAAGGGGATCGGAAGGGGTCGAAAATGAACGAAGGGGATCGGAAGGGGTCGAAAATGAACGAAGGGGATCGGAAGGGGTCGAAAATGAACGAAGGGGATCGGAAGGGGTCGAAAATGAACGAAGGGGATCGGAAGGGGTCGAAAATGAACGAAGGGGATCGGAAGGGGTCGAAAATGAACGAAGGGGATCGGAAGGGGTCGAAAATGAACGAAGGGGATCGGAAGGGGTCGAAAATGAACGAAGGGGATCGGAAGGGGTCGAAAATGAACGAAGGGGATCGGAAGGGGTCGAAAATGAACGAAGGGGATCGGAAGGGGTCGAAAATGAACGAAGGGGATCGGAAGGGGTCGAAAATGAACGAAGGGGATCGGAAGGGGTCGAAAATGAACGAAGGGGATCGGAAGGGGTCGAAAATGAACGAAGGGGATCGGAAGGGGTCGAAAATGAACGAAGGGGATCGGAAGGGGTCGAAAATGAACGAAGGGGATCGGAAGGGGTCGAAAATGAACGAAGGGGATCGGAAGGGGTCGAAAATGAACGAAGGGGATCGGAAGGGGTCGAAAATGAACGAAGGGGATCGGAAGGGGTCGAAAATGAACGAAGGGGATCGGAAGGGGTCGAAAATGAACGAAGGGGATCGGAAGGGGTCGAAAATGAACGAAGGGGATCGGAAGGGGTCGAAAATGAACGAAGGGGATCGGAAGGGGTCGAAAATGAACGAAGGGGATCGGAAGGGGTCGAAAATGAACGAAGGGGATCGGAAGGGGTCGAAAATGAACGAAGGGGATCGGAAGGGGTCGAAAATGAACGAAGGGGATCGGAAGGGGTCGAAAATGAACGAAGGGGATCGGAAGGGGTCGAAAATGAACGAAGGGGATCGGAAGGGGTCGAAAATGAACGAAGGGGATCGGAAGGGGTCGAAAATGAACGAAGGGGATCGGAAGGGGTCGAAAATGAACGAAGGGGATCGGAAGGGGTCGAAAATGAACGAAGGGGATCGGAAGGGGTCGAAAATGAACGAAGGGGATCGGAAGGGGTCGAAAATGAACGAAGGGGATCGGAAGGGGTCGAAAATGAACGAAGGGGATCGGAAGGGGTCGAAAATGAACGAAGGGGATCGGAAGGGGTCGAAAATGAACGAAGGGGATCGGAAGGGGTCGAAAATGAACGAAGGGGATCGGAAGGGGTCGAAAATGAACGAAGGGGATCGGAAGGGGTCGAAAATGAACGAAGGGGATCGGAAGGGGTCGAAAATGAACGAAGGGGATCGGAAGGGGTCGAAAATGAACGAAGGGGATCGGAAGGGGTCGAAAATGAACGAAGGGGATCGGAAGGGGTCGAAAATGAACGAAGGGGATCGGAAGGGGTCGAAAATGAACGAAGGGGATCGGAAGGGGTCGAAAATGAACGAAGGGGATCGGAAGGGGTCGAAAATGAACGAAGGGGATCGGAAGGGGTCGAAAATGAACGAAGGGGATCGGAAGGGGTCGAAAATGAACGAAGGGGATCGGAAGGGGTCGAAAATGAACGAAGGGGATCGGAAGGGGTCGAAAATGAACGAAGGGGATCGGAAGGGGTCGAAAATGAACGAAGGGGATCGGAAGGGGTCGAAAATGAACGAAGGGGATCGGAAGGGGTCGAAAATGAACGAAGGGGATCGGAAGGGGTCGAAAATGAACGAAGGGGATCGGAAGGGGTCGAAAATGAACGAAGGGGATCGGAAGGGGTCGAAAATGAACGAAGGGGATCGGAAGGGGTCGAAAATGAACGAAGGGGATCGGAAGGGGTCGAAAATGAACGAAGGGGATCGGAAGGGGTCGAAAATGAACGAAGGGGATCGGAAGGGGTCGAAAATGAACGAAGGGATCGGAAGGGGTCGAAAATGAACGAAGGGGATCGGAAGGGGTCGAAAATGAACGAAGGGGATCGGAAGGGGTCGAAAATGAACGAAGGGGATCGGAAGGGGTCGAAAATGAACGAAGGGGATCGGAAGGGGTCGAAAATGAACGAAGGGGATCGGAAGGGGTCGAAAGTGAACGAAGGGGATCGGAAGGGGTCGAAAGTGAACGAAGGGGATCGGAAGGGGTCGAAAGTGAACGAAGGGGATCGGAAGGGGTCGAAAGTGAACGAAGGGGATCGGAAGGGGTCGAAATGAACGAAGGGGATCGGAAGGGGTCGAAAGTGAACGAAGGGGATCGGAAGGGGTCGAAAATGAACGAAGGGGATCGGAAGGGGTCGAAAATGAACGAAGGGGATCGGAAGGGGTCGAAAATGAACGAAGGGGATCGGAAGGGGTCGAAAATGAACGAAGGGGATCGGAAGGGGTCGAAAATGAACGAAGGGGATCGGAAGGGGTCGAAAATGAACGAAGGGGATCGGAAGGGGTCGAAAATGAACGAAGGGGATCGGAAGGGGTCGAAAATGAACGAAGGGGATCGGAAGGGGTCGAAAATGAACGAAGGGGATCGGAAGGGGTCGAAAATGAACGAAGGGGATCGGAAGGGGTCGAAAATGAACGAAGGGGATCGGAAGGGGTCGAAAATGAACGAAGGGGATCGGAAGGGGTCGAAAATGAACGAAGGGGATCGGAAGGGGTCGAAAATGAACGAAGGGGATCGGAAGGGGTCGAAAATGAACGAAGGGGATCGGAAGGGGTCGAAAGTGAACGAAGGGGATCGGAAGGGGTCGAAAGTGAACGAAGGGGATCGGAAGGGGTCGAAAAGTGAACGAAGGGGATCGGAAGGGGTCGAAAGTGAACGAAGGGGATCGGAAGGGGTCGAAAATGAACGAAGGGGATCGGAAGGGGTCGAAAATGAACGAAGGGGATCGGAAGGGGTCGAAAATGAACGAAGGGGATCGGAAGGGGTCGAAAATGAACGAAGGGGATCGGAAGGGGTCGAAAATGAACGAAGGGGATCGGAAGGGGTCGAAAATGAACGAAGGGGATCGGAAGGGGTCGAAAATGAACGAAGGGGATCGGAAGGGGTCGAAAATGAACGAAGGGGATCGGAAGGGGTCGAAAATGAACGAAGGGGATCGGAAGGGGTCGAAAATGAACGAAGGGGATCGGAAGGGGTCGAAAATGAACGAAGGGGATCGGAAGGGGTCGAAAATGAACGAAGGGGATCGGAAGGGGTCGAAAATGAACGAAGGGGATCGGAAGGGGTCGAAAATGAACGAAGGGGATCGGAAGGGGTCGAAAATGAACGAAGGGGATCGGAAGGGGTCGAAAGTGAACGAAGGGGATCGGAAGGGGTCGAAAGTGAACGAAGGGGATCGGAAGGGGTCGAAAGTGAACGAAGGGGATCGGAAGGGGTCGAAAATGAACGAAGGGGATCGGAAGGGGTCGAAAATGAACGAAGGGGATCGGAAGGGGTCGAAAATGAACGAAGGGGATCGGAAGGGGTCGAAAATGAACGAAGGGGATCGGAAGGGGTCGAAAATGAACGAAGGGGATCGGAAGGGGTCGAAAATGAACGAAGGGGATCGGAAGGGGTCGAAAATGAACGAAGGGGATCGGAAGGGGTCGAAAATGAACGAAGGGGATCGGAAGGGGTCGAAAATGAACGAAGGGGATCGGAAGGGGTCGAAAATGAACGAAGGGGATCGGAAGGGGTCGAAAATGAACGAAGGGGATCGGAAGGGGTCGAAAATGAACGAAGGGGATCGGAAGGGGTCGAAAATGAACGAAGGGGATCGGAAGGGGTCGAAAATGAACGAAGGGGATCGGAAGGGGTCGAAAATGAACGAAGGGGATCGGAAGGGGTCGAAAATGAACGAAGGGGATCGGAAGGGGTCGAAATGAACGAAGGGGATCGGAAGGGGTCGAAAATGAACGAAGGGGATCGGAAGGGGTCGAAAATGAACGAAGGGGATCGGAAGGGGTCGAAAATGAACGAAGGGGATCGGAAGGGGTCGAAAATGAACGAAGGGGATCGGAAGGGGTCGAAAATGAACGAAGGGGATCGGAAGGGGTCGAAAATGAACGAAGGGGATCGGAAGGGGTCGAAAATGAACGAAGGGGATCGGAAGGGGTCGAAAATGAACGAAGGGGATCGGAAGGGGTCGAAAATGAACGAAGGGGATCGGAAGGGGTCGAAAATGAACGAAGGGGATCGGAAGGGGTCGAAAATGAACGAAGGGGATCGGAAGGGGTCGAAAATGAACGAAGGGGATCGGAAGGGGTCGAAAATGAACGAAGGGGATCGGAAGGGGTCGAAAATGAACGAAGGGGATCGGAAGGGGTCGAAAATGAACGAAGGGGATCGGAAGGGGTCGAAAATGAACGAAGGGGATCGGAAGGGGTCGAAAATGAACGAAGGGGATCGGAAGGGGTCGAAAATGAACGAAGGGGATCGGAAGGGGTCGAAAATGAACGAAGGGGATCGGAAGGGGTCGAAAATGAACGAAGGGGATCGGAAGGGGTCGAAAATGAACGAAGGGGATCGGAAGGGGTCGAAAATGAACGAAGGGGATCGGAAGGGGTCGAAAATGAACGAAGGGGATCGGAAGGGGTCGAAAATGAACGAAGGGGATCGGAAGGGGTCGAAAATGAACGAACGGGATCGGAAGGGGTCGAAAATGAACGAACGGGATCGGAAGGGGTCGAAAATGAACGAACGGGATCGGAAGGGGTCGAAAATGAACGAAGGGGATCGGAAGGGGTCGAAAATGAACGAAGGGGATCGGAAGGGGTCGAAAATGAACGAAGGGGATCGGAAGGGGTCGAAAATGAACGAAGGGGATCGGAAGGGGTCGAAAATGAACGAAGGGGATCGGAAGGGGTCGAAAATGAACGAAGGGGATCGGAAGGGGTCGAAAATGAACGAACGGGATCGGAAGGGGTCGAAAATGAACGAACGGGATCGGAAGGGGTCGAAAATGAACGAACGGGATCGGAAGGGGTCGAAAATGAACGAAGGGGATCGGAAGGGGTCGAAAATGAACGAACGGGATCGGAAGGGGTCGAAAATGAACGAAGGGGATCGGAAGGGGTCGAAAATGAACGAAGGGGATCGGAAGGGGTCGAAAATGAACGAAGGGGATCGGAAGGGGTCGAAAATGAACGAAGGGGATCGGAAGGGGTCGAAAATGAACGAAGGGGATCGGAAGGGGTCGAAAATGAACGAAGGGGATCGGAAGGGGTCGAAAATGAACGAAGGGGATCGGAAGGGGTCGAAAATGAACGAAGGGGATCGGAAGGGGTCGAAAATGAACGAAGGGGATCGGAAGGGGTCGAAAATGAACGAAGGGGATCGGAAGGGTCGAAAATGAACGAAGGGGATCGGAAGGGGTCGAAAATGAACGAAGGGGATCGGAAGGGGTCGAAAATGAACGAAGGGGATCGGAAGGGGTCGAAAATGAACGAAGGGGATCGGAAGGGGTCGAAAATGAACGAAGGGGATCGGAAGGGTCGAAAATGAACGAAGGGGATCGGAAGGGGTCGAAAATGAACGAAGGGGATCGGAAGGGGTCGAAAATGAACGAAGGGGATCGGAAGGGGTCGAAAATGAACGAAGGGGATCGGAAGGGGTCGAAAATGAACGAAGGGGATCGGAAGGGGTCGAAAATGAACGAAGGGGATCGGAAGGGGTCGAAAATGAACGAACGGGATCGGAAGGGGTCGAAAATGAACGAACGGGATCGGAAGGGGTCGAAAATGAACGAACGGGATCGGAAGGGGTCGAAAATGAACGAACGGGATCGGAAGGGGTCGAAAATGAACGAACGGGATCGGAAGGGGTCGAAAATGAACGAAGGGGATCGGAAGGGGTCGAAAATGAACGAAGGGGATCGGAAGGGGTCGAAAATGAACGAAGGGGATCGGAAGGGGTCGAAAATGAACGAAGGGGATCGGAAGGGGTCGAAAATGAACGAACGGGATCGGAAGGGGTCGAAAATGAACGAACGGGATCGGAAGGGGTCGAAAATGAACGAACGGGATCGGAAGGGGTCGAAAATGAACGAACGGGATCGGAAGGGGTCGAAAATGAACGAAGGGGATCGGAAGGGGTCGAAAACGAACGAAGGGGATCGGAAGGGGTCGAAAACGAACGAACGGGATCGGAAGGGGTCGAAAACGAACGAACGGGATCGGAAGGGGTCGAAAACGAACGAACGGGATCGGAAGGGGTCGAAAACGAACGAACGGGATCGGAAGGGGTCGAAAACGAACGAACGGGATCGGAAGGGGTCGAAAACGAACGAACGGGATCGGAAGGGGTCGAAAACGAACGAAGGGGATCGGAAGGGGTCGAAAATGAACGAAGGGGATCGGAAGGGGTCGAAAATGAACGAAGGGGGATCGGAAGGGGTCGAAAATGAACGAAGGGGATCGGAAGGGGTCGAAAATGAACGAAGGGGATCGGAAGGGGTCGAAAATGAACGAACGGGATCGGAAGGGGTCGAAAATGAACGAAGGGGATCGGAAGGGGTCGAAAATGAACGAACGGGATCGGAGGGGGTCGAAACGACGAACGAACGGGATCGGAGGGGGTCGAAAACGAACGAACGGGATCGGAGGGGGTCGAAAACGAACGAACGGGATCGGACGGGGTCGAAAACGAACGAACGGGATCGGACGGGGTCGAAAACGAACGAACGGGATCGGAAGGGGTCGAAAACGAACGAACGGGATCGGAAGGGGTCGAAAACGAACGAACGGGATCGGAAGGGGTCGAAAACGAACGAACGGGATCGGAAGGGGTCGAAAACGAACGAACGGGATCGGAAGGGGTCGAAAACGAACGAACGGGATCGGAAGGGGTCGAAAACGAACGAACGGGATCGGAAGGGGTCGAAAACGAACGAAGGGGATCGAAGGGGTCGAAAACGAACGAAGGGGATCGAAAGGGGTCGAAAACGAACGAAGGGGATCGGAAGGGGTCGAAAACGAACGAAGGGGATCGGAAGGGGTCGAAAACGAACGAACGGGATCGGAAGGGGTCGAAAACGAACGAACGGGATCGGAAGGGGTCGAAAACGAACGAACGCGATCGGAAGGGGTCGAAAATGAACGAACGGGATCGGAAGGGGTCGAAAATGAACGAACGGGATCGGAAGGGGTCGAAAACGAACGAACGGGATCGGAAGGGGTCGAAAACGAACGAACGGGATCGGAAGGGGTCGAAAACGAACGAACGGGATCGGAAGGGGTCGAAAACGAACGAACGGATCGGAAGGGGTCGAAAACGAACGAAGGGGATCGGAAGGGGTCGAAAACGAACGAAGGGGATCGGAAGGGGTCGAAAACGAACGAAGGGGATCGGAAGGGGTCGAAAACGAACGAAGGGGATCGGAAGGGGTCGAAAACGAACGAAGGGGATCGGAAGGGGTCGAAAACGAACGAAGGGGATCGGAAGGGGTCGAAAACGAACGAAGGGGATCGGAAGGGCTCGAAAACGAAAGAAGGGGATCGGAAGGGCTCGAAAACGAACGAAGGGGATCGGAAGGGCTCGAAAACGAACGAAGGGGATCGGAAGGGGTCGAAAACGAACGAAGGGGATCGGAAGGGGTCGAAAATGAACGAAGGGGATCGGAAGGGGTCGAAAATGAACGAAGGGGATCGGAAGGGGTCGAAAATGAACGAAGGGGATCGGAAGGGGTCGAAAATGAACGAAGGGGATCGGAAGGGGTCGAAAATGAACGAAGGGGATCGGAAGGGGTCGAAAATGAACGAAGGGGATCGGAAGGGGTCGAAAATGAACGAAGGGGATCGGAAGGGGTCGAAAATGAACGAAGGGGATCGGAAGGGTCGAAAATGAACGAAGGGGATCGGAAGGGGTCGAAAATGAACGAAGGGGATCGGAAGGGGTCGAAAATGAACGAAGGGGATCGGAAGGGGTCGTCGAAAATGAACGAAGGGGATCGGAAGGGGTCGAAAATGAACGAAGGGGATCGGAAGGGGTCGAAAATGAACGAAGGGGATCGGAAGGGGTCGAAAATGAACGAAGGGGATCGGAAGGGGTCGAAAATGAACGAAGGGGATCGGAAGGGGTCGAAAATGAACGAAGGGGATCGGAAGGGGTCGAAAATGAACGAACGGGATCGGAAGGGCTCGAAAATGAACGAAGGGGATCGGAAGGGCTCGAAAATGGACGAAGGGGATCGGAAGGGCTCGAAAATGAACGAAGGGGATCGGAAGGGCTCGAAAATGAACGAAGGGGATCAGAAGGGCTCGAAAATGAACGAAGGGGATCGGAAGGGCTCGAAAATGAACGAAGGGGATCGGAAGGGCTCGAAAATGAACGAAGGGGATCGGAAGGGCTCGAAAATGAACGAAGGGGATCGGAAGGGCTCGAAAATGAACGAAGGGGATCGGAAGGGCTCGAAAATGAACGAAGGGGATCGGAAGGGCTCGAAAATGAACGAAGGGGATCGGAAGGGCTCGAAAATGAACGAAGGGGATCGGAAGGGCTCGAAAATGAACGAAGGGGATCGGAAGGGCTCGAAAATGAACGAAGGGGATCGGAAGGGCTCGAAAATGAACGAAGGGGATCGGAAGGGCTCGAAAATGAACGAAGGGGATCGGAAGGGCTCGAAAATGAACGAAGGGGATCGGAAGGGCTCGAAAATGAACGAAGGGGATCGGAAGGGCTCGAAAATGAACGAAGGGGATCGGAAGGGCTCGAAAATGAACGAAGGGGATCGGAAGGGCTCGAAAATGAACGAAGGGGATCGGAAGGGCTCGAAAATGAACGAAGGGGATCGGAAGGGCTCGAAAATGAACGAAGGGGATCGGAAGGGCTCGAAAATGAACGAAGGGGATCGGAAGGGCTCGAAAATGAACGAAGGGGATCGGAAGGGCTCGAAAATGAACGAAGGGGATCGGAAGGGCTCGAAAATGAACGAAGGGGATCGGAAGGGCTCGAAAATGAACGAAGGGGATCGGAAGGGCTCGAAAATGAACGAAGGGGATCGGAAGGGCTCGAAAATGAACGAAGGGGATCGGAAGGGCTCGAAAATGAACGAAGGGGATCGGAACGGCTCGAAAATGAACGAAGGGGATCGGAACGGCTCGAAAATGAACGAAGGGGATCGGAACGGCTCGAAAATGAACGAAGGGGATCGGAACGGCTCGAAAATGAACGAAGGGGATCGGAACGGCTCGAAAATGAACGAAGGGGATCGGAACGGCTCGAAAATGAACGAAGGGGATCGGACGGGTCGAAAATGAACGAAGGGGATCGGAACGGGTCGAAAATGAACGAAGGGGATCGGAACGGGTCGAAAATGAACGAAGGGGATCGGAACGGGTCGAAAATGAACGAAGGGGATCGGAACGGGTCGAAAATGAACGAAGGGGATCGGAACGGGTCGAAAATGAACGAAGGGGATCGGAACGGGTCGAAAATGAACGAAGGGGATCGGAACGGGTCGAAAATGAACGAAGGGGATCGGAACGGGTCGAAAATGAACGAAGGGGATCGGAACGGGTCGAAAATGAACGAAGGGGATCGGAACGGGTCGAAAATGAACGAAGGGAATCGGAACGGGTCGAAAATGAACGAAGGGAATCGGAACGGGTCGAAAATGAACGAAGGGAATCGGAACGGGTCGAAAATGAACGAAGGGAATCGGAACGGGTCGAAAATGAACGAAGGGAATCGGAACGGGTCGAAAATGAACGAAGGGAATCGGAAGGGGTCGAAAATGAACGAAGGGAATCGGAAGGGGTCGAAAATGAACGAAGGGAATCGGAAGGGGTCGAAAATGAACGAAGGGAATCGGAAGGGGTCGAAAATGAACGAAGGGAATCGGAAGGGGTCGAAAATGAACGAAGGGAATCGGAAGGGGTCGAAAATGAACGAAGGGAATCGGAAGGGGTCGAAAATGAACGAAGGGAATCGGAAGGGGTCGAAAATGAACGAAGGGAATCGGAAGGGGTCGAAAATGAACGAAGGGAATCGGAAGGGGTCGAAAATGCACGAAGGGAATCGGAAGGGGTCGAAAATGCACGAAGGGAATCGGAAGGGGTCGAAAATGAACGAAGGGAATCGGAAGGGGTCGAAAATGAACGAAGGGAATCGGAAGGGGTCGAAAATGAACGAAGGGAATCGGAAGGGGTCGAAAATGAACGAAGGGAATCGGAAGGGGTCGAAAATGAACGAAGGGAATCGGAAGGTGTCGAAAATGAAAGAAGGGAATCGGAAGGGGTCGAAAATGAAAGAAGGGAATCGGAAGGGGTCGAAAATGAAAGAAGGGAATTGGAAGGGGTTGAAAATGAAAGAAGGGAATTGGAAGGGGTTGAAAATGAAAGAAAGGAATTGGAAGGGGTTGAAAATGAAAGAAGGGAATTGAAGGGGTTGAAAATGAAAGAAGGGAATTGGAAGGGGTTGAAAATGAAAGAAGGGAATTGGAAGGGGTTGAAAATGAAAGAAGGGAATTGGAAGGGGTCGAAAATGAAAGAATGGAATTGGAAGGGGTCGAAAATGAAAGAATGGAATTGGAAGGGGTTGAAAATGAAAGAATGGAATGCACGAGTGAGCAGTGAGTGAGTCGAAGCACGATTGAGCTGTATGTGTGACTCTTAAGAAGAATGAATGCACAAGTTCTGTGTGACTTACAAGAGACGCTTATTATAACCAAGGTAAGCTATGATCTACATTCTTAACTTGCCAACATTGTGCACACACTTTTTTAAATGAAAAATACACTAAAGAAGTGCACAATACATTGGCAGTCGTAACTGTCCATGCAAAGCAGAGAGCACAGAGAGTGGTGTGAACAGAGGGACAAGCAGCGTGGGGGGCAGAGAGGGAGGAGCAAACAGAGAGGTGTTTTCTGCAAACCTCTCTTAAACTGCATGCACATTTTTAGAGTCGACTAAAAAACAAACCTCTCTTAAACTGCATGCACATTTTTTTAGTCGACTCAAAAACAAACCTCTCTTAACTGCATGCACATTTTGGCCAGAGAGAGTGCGGCAAAGGGAGCGATGCGAATGGAGTGGTGGTGCACGGGGAGGGATGCACAGGGAGGGGTGCACAGGGAGGGGTGCACAGGGAGGGGCGCACAGGGAGGGGCGCACAGGGAGGGGTGCACAGGGAGGGGCGCACAGGGAGGGGAGCTCTCATTACCAGCCTTGCAATCCGTGCAGAAGTTGGGGCAGAGAGAGCAGAAGGCGAGCGGAGGAGCAGAGGAGGCGAGGAGGGACGTGAGAGATGGCGTGCAGGCAGAGGCAGGCGAGGGGCACTCCATGCCCTCGCTGACGCTCCTGTTGTTGTTGGGGGAAGAGGGGAGGGGGAAGGAAGAGAGATTGTGAGTCGAACCAAAAGTTGGTGCCTGCAGAAGCAGGTGAGGGGCACTCGATGCCGTTGCTGATGCTCCTGTTGGTGTGGGGGGGGGATGGGGGAGAAGTAGTGAGGGGGGAAAGAGGAACAGAGAAGAAACGTTGAAGGGATGGTAGGCGAGGGGCACTCCATGGCCTCGCTGATGCTCCTGTTGTTGTGAGGGGAGATGGGAGAGATGGGGAGATGGGGGAGAGAGGGAGATGGGGGAGAGGGGGAGATGGGGGAGAGGGGGAGATGGGGGAGAGGGGGAGATGGGGGAGATGGGGAGATGGGGGAGAGGGGGAGATGGGGGAGAGGGGGAGATGGGGGAGAGGGGGAGAACTTTTGAGTCGAACCCAAAGGAGGTGCATGAGGGGCACTGCACTCCATGCCCTCGCTGATGCTCCTGTTATCATGGGGGATGGGCGGAAAATGATCACAAGGGGGGAAGGGAGGGGGGTGGTGAGGGGAGGGAAGGGCACTCCATGCCCTTGCTGTTGCTCCTGTTGTTGTGGGGCATGGGCGGAATAGAGAAGCAACACAGGTGGGGAGGTGCATGGAGGGGTGAGAGGTTAGACACCCCATGCCAGTGCTGATGCTTCTGCTGTTGCAGAGAAGAGAGACAAAACACAGTGGAGGAGGGGTGAGAGGTCCGGAGGTGTGGGACGAGAGGCACTTTTGTGCCATGCCATGCTGCTGCTGACGCTGCTGTTGTTGTATGTGTGGGGATGTCAGAATTCTGAGGGTTACGCCTAAGAAGTACTGACAGAGGGTGTAGGCGCGGAAAGGGGGGGGAAACTGTACATTTGTACATAGTCAAAGCATGTGACAGCGGGGATAAACAAGAGTGGGGGGGGAAGGAAGTGGGTCGGGCAACTCGGCAGAGTGACTGCACCAGCGGGGGGAAACTTTGGAGGGTGGCGAGCTGATCTGTGTTGAGCTGGGAAGGTGGGAGGGTAACGGGGTTGGTAGCGAACTGACGTGTGTGGGTGCGAATGGATGGTCTCTGTGTGGTGTGGTGTGCATGCGAATGTTTTGGTTTCCTGCTTGCAGACACCGAGCCCAGGAGGAGCTGGAAGACCCAGCAGCCAGCTGGCAAGTGGCAGGGTGGCAGCAAGGATGGCAAGCTAGGCAGTTAGCGTCTGCTTTCTTGGTAGTTCGTTAGCAGAGCCTAGCTAGGGCAGGGGTTGGAAGGCACAAAGAGTGCTCCTGGGCCATGGGACTGCCACTGCGTGTTTGTTTTCGTGAATTACTGTAATTTCTCTTGAAGATAAGCAGTTTGTAGCGAAGCCATATCCGCAGTCGGTATGAGTTAGTTAGGAAGGGTCTTAGCTTGTGGAAGGGTCTGAGCAGAAGAAGGACATGAGCAAGGGCAAAGAGAAAGTGGGGTAGAGAGGCAAGCGTAAGGGGAGGAAGGGAAAGTGAGGGCAGCAACAGGGAGAGGGCAGGCGGCAGGTCGAAGGGAGAGAGAGAGGGAGCGAAGGGCAATGAAGCAGAAGGGAGAGGGTTCAGGAAGGGGAGGACGTAATGAGGTTTCCGACAGGGGGGAGGGGGGGGGGGGGGGGGGGGGGGGTGGCATGGGGGGTGGTGCGGGGAGGCTTGGGGAAAGGAAAGGTGAATAGAAAAGAAACACAAAAGCGATAGTAGGGGAAGGAGGAGAGGAGGAGAGGAGGAGGGTAAAGAGTATGTCCATTACGACAGATTCCAAGACAGGTTTCAAGATAGGTTCCAAGACATGCAGAGGTTAACTTAGAGCAGTGATAAGGCATGAGAGGAGGTAGATGTAAAGAATGGGTACAGGCATAAAGACAATGAGATGTCACCCTACGTCGAAGCACACTCACACTTCCACGAGGCACACTCACACTTCCACGAGGCACACTCACACTTCCACGAGGCTTGGGCAGCGAGCGAGCATCAGAAGGTTTCTGAGATGTCCCCAAAATCAACTATCGAGGGCTTAGGTCACACTCACTCACACTTCCACAAGGCACACTCACACCTTACGTCGAGGCACACTCACACCCTACGTCGAGGCACATTCACACCCGTTTTCCCCGTCGGCTGAGGGGCAGCTCCCCCGCCAGGTCCAGAGACCACCGGTAGCCCAGCCCGCGAATGGGTAATGACTGCAGTTCCTGTTGGCTTCTCTCCAGCTGTGCCCTGTTGCGGTCACATGCTTCACACTGCGCCATGTGCTCCTTGATCTGCCGCGCCATGCCTGCCCACCACCAGCCTGTGTTCACCAGCTGAGTTGTCCTAACGTGCCCGTAGTGTCCCAATTGCCTGTGAACCCTGTCGATGATGCCCGCTCTCTCAGCTGTTGCAGGTACCAGCTTCCATCCTTCCTTGGTCCTGAGCTGCACCTGCCCCGCATACCATCTGTAGTGCTGCCCTCTTGCCCGCGCTCTCTCGGAGGCTGGTTCATCTGCCTCAGTGTCTCCCCGCAGCCACCTCAGGGTCTCCTCGTCTAGCCAGATGTCGGCAGCCCCGCGTTGTTCCTGCCGTTGCTCCCCTTGCCTCTCCACCTCCCTTGCTAGGGCCATGAGGCCAGCAACTGGCTCTGCTGCTGGCGGGTTGCGTGATAGTCCGTCCACGTGCTGAAGCGTCTTGCCCGGCCTGTGCTTCACCTGAAAGTCGAACTCCTGCAGACGCATGGCCCACCGTGCGTTGCGGCCCGTCAGCGTGTGATTTATCATCAGCCAGAGCAGCGGTTGGTGATCCGTTACCAGCGTGAATTCCCGTCCCTGCAGGTACACGCGAAAGTGTGTGACTGCCCAGACTGCCGCCAGACCTTCCCCTTCATAGGAGCTGTAGTTTGCCTCCGCCGCATTGCAGCTGCGGCTCGCGAAGGCCACCACCCTTTCTCCTTGCTCCGTCTGCTGACAGAGTACTGCCCCCATGCCCGTGCTGCTCCAGTCGGTGTACAGGACGAAACGGGCCTCTGGCTTCGGCAGCAGCAGCACCGGTCCTGACTTCACCCCTTCCAGCAGGTCTCGCAGTGCTCCCTGCTCGGCTTCTCCCCACTTCCACGCCATATCCTCCCTCAGCAGCCTGTAGAGGTTAGCCGACCGCTTGCTGAAGTTCGGCACAAACTTCCGATAATAGTTCAGGAAGCCCAGAATTGCTCGCAGCGCGGAGCGACTCTCTGGAACCGCCAGCTTATCCAGCACCGCCACCTTCGCCTCCTGGATCGTCATCTGCCCCCCACACACTTCAAATCCCAGATACCGCACTGTGTTCGTGCCGAAACGGCACTTCTGGGGGTGACACGTGAGTCCTGCTCCTCTGATGGCTTCCAAGACCTGCTGCACATCTTTCACATGCTGCTCGGGTGAGGAGCTGAAGACCACCACGTCGTCTATATAGCAGGCCGCGCAATGCTGCAGCGCCCGCAGCACCCGATCCATTGCTTTCTGAAACACTGCGGATGCATTCTTCAGCCCGAAAGGCATGAACAGCCACTCATATAGTCCGTCTGGCCCATGAAAAGCGGTTTTCCTTATATCCGCCTCCACGATGCGGATCTGGTTGAAACCCTGGCGGAGGTCGAGCGTGCTGAAGATCACCGCCCCATACAGTTTGTCCAAGATCTCTTCTGGGGTAGGCATGTGGTAGCGGTTCGCCACCGTCAGCTTATTGAGGTCTCGATAATCGCCGCACATGCGCCGTGAGAGCACTTCGCCCGTGAGTTCTTTCCTCGCCGCCACCACCGTCGCTGCTGCGTACTCTGATTCCGAGGGCCTGATGAGCCCTGCTTCCAGCAGTTCCCGACACTTCTCCCTGCACACGTCAAGTTCTCCAGGGCTCATGCGACGCTTCCGCTGGTACACTGGCACCTCCTCCGTCAGCCGAATTTCCATCTCTCCCCCGTTATACTTGCCGAGCTCTAGTAACGTGAAGGCGAATGCCTGCCGGTTCTTCCTCAGGACCATCCACATCTGTTCTCGGAGGTCTCCCACCAGACCTTCTCCTACCTCCCACATCTCTTCCTCCTCCCTTGCTGGCCGGCCTGCTGCCGAGGCTTCCGTGATCTTCGTCTGAGCCTCTGATCTCGCCGCCGCTGCTGGCTCCTGCCGCCCCTGAACCGCCGTGGTCTCCTCTGCCTCACTCGGCGCCGTGGGGTCACTGGCTGCTGTTGTTTCTTCAGCTGCCGGTGGTGCCCCCAGCGCCATGAGTGCCCACCCTCGCTCCCTCTGTTGCTGCTTCTCGACCTGCATCTCGAGTAGTAGCTGCTCGGCCCTCTGCTGGCTGGCCCGCATCTCTGCTTCACTGGAGTCTCCCGGTCCTCCCACTTCCACTTCCATCTCTAACTGCTTCGAGGCGAGGTGCGTCTGTACCACGTGCACCAGCCAGTGCACCGCTTCCACATCCATTGCTCGCCCGAGCGCTTCCCTCCGCTTGGCTTCCTCTACCCCTGGTGCTGCAGTGGCATCTGGCACGAAGCCCATTGCTAGCTCCCTCTCCCGTGCTGTCGGTTCCTCCCAGCGATCCTTCAGGCGGTCATACACCATGCCAGGGCCCGGCAGCCCCTCGCTCCACACAAAGCCATGTGCTTGGTGATGTGCCATGAGCGTTGGCCATGCTTCTCTCGGCAGCCCAGGTTCGTTGCACTGGAATTGACTCGGGTGGTCTGGCTTCACCACCGGAGCGGGTTCCCGGTGCGCTTCTAGGATGTCCTCCACGGGACGTGGTGCAGGCCTCTCGGTTTGGATGAGCTCCCACCTGAGCCTCCCTTCAGACACTCCGTTCTGCCAGTACCTCCTGACTCGGTGCGCGTAGGATCCTTGCTGTACCGCATCCCATGCCACACCTGGTCCCAGAGCTGCCGCCACCACCTCCATCATGCGCCGCACCGGCTCCCTGCAGTCGGTCGAGAAATCGGGGTTCTCCAGGATGTACAGATACTCTCCGTGCTGCTGATAGATCAGCTTCATCACCCGTAGCAGCTCCAAGAAGAGTGTGGCCCTTGGGTCATCCAGTCCTTTGCCCTTCCCGGCCCGTGACACCCCTTGGCATTCCCAGCCAGCCACGAGCAGATCAACTCTCCCCCATCGGCGCACGTCCTCTGCCGCCACTTCCCTGATGTCGTTGACGAGTTCTTCTTCCGCCTCGGCCTCTACCCCTGACATCATCTGCGTTGGGTAAATTCCCCGCAGCTTCCTTGCGTGATTGAAGGCCATCCTTCGCACCAACGGATCCAGCTCCACCAGCACCCACTTCTTCACTTGACATCCTGCCTTCAGCGCCGTCGCCAGCCCGGTGCCGATTCCGCCGAACAATTCCACGATAGTGACTGGTTCCTGCAGGCGGGTGAGGTCTGTCACTCGTGGGGGCCGGGCTAGGGGCCGCTCTGCCTGCTCTTCTTCCGCCCTGCGCGTCTCTCGTTCTAGGACATACTACTTCCAGGACCAATCTGCTATCTGCTCCTCCACCTCCGCCATTCGAGCTCTGAAGGCCTCCCTTGGTTCCCTTCGGACGAAGTGCACTGGCAGCGTGCCCACGGGTCCATCGTCTCTCCAGTACTGTGCACGATAGAGCACCTTCTCTTGCCAGGTGCAGATGGTGGCGCCTACTCGGTAGAGCAACTCCATGCCTATCAGTAAATCGAAGTCCTCTGACGGCGAGATGCCGCACCGCATCCGTATCGTGCATTCGTCCTTAGTGCCTGGCCGTAGGATTACCTCCACTGGCATGCGCGTGCAAGGCATCCACTTGGGCTCCCCACCATCTGCGGTCATGACCAGTATGCCTCGCGTGATGAGCCGATTCGGCTGATCCAGTTCCAACCTCTGGGCCAGCCCCTTTCCCACGAGGATGTGATGGGCCCCCGTATCTATGATTGCCTGCGCCACCGTCACTCCTCCCACCGTGATGGCCCCCTTTTCAATCGTCAGGACGGAAGGCTGGCACACCATGCGCTCCTTGGGGTGCCTTTCGGACGTCATTTCTTGCTCTGGTTCTGCCGCGTACCCACGAAACCGCCTCACCCTTGGCTCCGGCTGCTGTCTCCTCTGTGCTCGATCACTTCTGAGGTCGATCTCGTCTCGCTGCCGCGGAGCCCTGACCATGAGCATGAACTCTGCCTCACTGCCACCTTCCTCTTCTTCCTTGGCCAGCATGGCGGGCTCCTTGCGGGCTGCACCTTCCAGCTCTTGAATCCTTGCTTGCAGCACCCGAAGCTACTCCTCTAGATCTCCTTTATTCCTCGGCCCTGCCGACCCTGGCCTTCGGCTGTAGCAGTCCGAGGTGCGATGTCCTCGCCTCCCGCAATTTTCGCACGTGGGGAGATCAGGGCATTCCCGGCGCAGATGCCCTTCTGCCTGGCAGTGGTCGCACCTCGGTGGCCTACTGCAATCACGCTGCAGGTGTCCCTCCTGTCCGCACCGATGGCATCTCCGAGTCTCCGCTTCCCGTGGGCCACGCCTGCTAGAGGATTCCCCTGTCGCCACCGCCGCCCAGGCAGGCTTGCGGCGCTCTTCGGAGTGCATGACGCCCCTCTCCATCTCGTAGAGGCGGAACCCAATCTTGTGCTTCTTCGCCAGTTCGTACGCATGCTCCAGCGTGGCCGAAGGTCCCATCTCGAACACTCTGCCTCTCACGTCCCCGGCCACGCGCTCGTCCACGCAATTCAGGAATTTGGAGACCAACCTCCACTCGTCCCGGCATTCCATATCCGTTGCGAGCTCCCGCAACCTGCCGTACGTCGCCAGCAGCGACTCCCCCGGCTTCCTTTTGAAAGTTGCGAACTCCCTCATCCGTTCTGGCGTCTGTACGGGGAAATGCCGTTTCAGGGTGTCGAAGAACTGCGACACCACGTCCCACGTCACCCCATTAGCCTGCGCGGGCTCGCTTAGCATGCGCTCCAGCTCCATGCCGTACGCAGTCTCTGCTTCGCCCATCACTGTGTTCGAAAGCCCCCGGAAGAAATCTTCCGGCTCCAGCCCATCCTTCATCCAGCGGTACTGCGCATTGCGGATCTGCATCATGTAGTTCTTGAGACTGCTGCCACGCCTGGCGTCCCCGCGAAGCGTTCTGGGACTTCAATCTTAGGTAGCGCGGCATATCTCACGTTCCCCACCCGTGTCACTTCTGTAGTGTGATGCTCCGACATGGAGAGACGCCTCATGCGTCCGAGCAATTCGCCGTCGGTGCCGTCATCTCCGCGCGCTTCCTCCTCGCGCGACGGCGAGCCCAGCGAAGCCGCTGGCGCCAGCGGTCTTCTGGTCGAGTTTTCCCCCGCGCCCAGGCCTTCGCTCGGCAGGTCACTCAAGCTGTGCCTCCGATGCGGTGCCGTGTAGATCTCCCTCTAAGCGCCGGTCTCCGACTCACCCGCCTGCGCGCTTCCATTTCCGCCCGACACGTCTCCCGCACGCCAACCTGGCGTGGCCATTGACGTCGTCACCGGCGGCCGCTCGTACCGCTTTCCTGATCGCGTCTGCATGCACTACCTGCCGCTATTCAACTAGGAGAACTCCTTTGTTGTATGTCAGAAAGTCTCCTCACTATACAGCCTGACCGGATGGTTTCCTAGCGTGCTCATGCTTGCCTGTGATTATTGGAACAGGATTACATAGGAGCAAATGGAAAACATACAACGAAGCAGTGAAGCTAGGGTTTCTGCTGAGCTATGTACAACAAGATGCATCCACCCTAGCCTAGTGTATCCAGAGCTCCCACATCACTTGGGCGAGGCTCGGGGCATCGAGCCGTATGTACAAACCGCAGGCGGTTTGGATCTGCATGAGCTCCAGCACGAGCTTTCTGCCAGCTGCACGCTTGGCTTGCATGATGTCCTGCAGGTCCCCGCCACCTGTCGGCCGCGCTGTACTTGTACGCGTCAACAGCACCCGCCCTGTACAGAAAGAAACACACGTCACACGAATCAAACATACACCCAACCCATCACCCCACATACGCATTCCTCAAACCTGAGCATTATGGTACAAATATGTACACCGCCTCTGCTGCCTCAGCCCCTCCACTCCCGCTGAATCCCTTCCTCCTCGCTGCTGCTCCCGCCTGATTATGCTACCTGCTCTCCTCGCTGTCCCAGTCATTATGGAGTCCTCCTGTCGCCATAATACCGCGACACCGTTGCTCCTGCCGCTCGTCTTAGCCGCGGAGCCAGTCACTCCAGTAGTCCGTCGCCCTTGCTTCGGTAGCCACTGAGTCAGCCGCTCCTGTGCCCGTGCCTCTGCAGCTTCAGTCGTTGCCTCTCATCTTCTCTCCTTCCACAGTTCCTCCTCCTCCTCACTTGCCCGCTGTGATTACCTCTAGCTTTGCTTATTATTGTGAACTCCTGCTATACCTGCTCATTGTGCTGATTACACCCCACTTTGGCTATGGGGGTGTGTCAGAATGTTATTATCTAGCCTGTAGTGGGGTGCTCTATAGCGAGTACAACCCTGTTAGGGTTTGCTATATGTATCCCAACTGCTGCTGGTGAAACTCCCTCTTCTTCTGTTATCATTCCTCGTTTCTTCACAACCCTGTGTCCTTCAGCTACACGCTGAAGGGCAAGAGACGGACGACGATGTTACGGCGTGTTACAAGCTGTGTTGAAGTTGTCTGTGCTGTCGACAGAGTGGCGCATGAGGGACCTGGAGCATCTCGAGGGGACGAAGCTGTTTCGCTCGGCCTCCTACGTACCAGACGATGCAAAACGAGTGGAGTATTTCAAACGGTGGTTGGCTAAGCTCCACAAGGTGTACAGCAACAAGCTTCCGTGTATGCTTGTGTTTGGTATTTATGTGTGTACTCTGCTCTTTCCATCGCTTATGTGTAGCGTTTGTTCGCGTCCATGCGCATGTGTCTAACGTTGATTGTTTGGTTTAATAATCCCCTTCCTCCCGGTTGCTACGAGTATGACCCCTTCTTTACCCATACCCGTACAACAGGTTTCGACTACACCAGAGCACAGAGCGAGCTCTGGATGTTCACATCAACCATGTTTTCACAACACAACAATGAGGATTTCCACCAGGTACTAGGGAACATGCTTCGTGACGATGTCTGGCAGCTTTCGTTCCCAAACGTCATGAAGATGTGGCAGGTTGTTTCTGTGCTCCCACTGAGCATAGTCAAGTGCAACCGGGGATTCAGCAAGCAAAAATCGATCAAGATGTGGGGGCGTGGCTGCATCTTCGACAGAACGCTTGAGCATTTGATGTGATGTTCACTGCTACAGTATGAAGTGGACTGATACGAGGTAGTGTCTATCTTCAGGGGAGAGAAGATAAGACGCTCAACGAAGGACTTTATCGGCAGGGGTTTAGGGTTTAGGGGAGGCTCTTTTTGGAGGAGTTGTAGAGTCATCTATGCCTGTTAGTGGAGAATGAGATATAGGGTAGGGTGCTGGATTTAGTTAAAGGCTCTGAGTAGTTGGTGCATGACAGAGGTAGATTGTTTCTCTTAGTTTGTTGCTAAAATCAATATATCAGCAAAGTTATGTTGCGTAAGTCTGTGTATTGGCAAAGTTAGTCTGACTGAATTAGTCTTTAAAAATTTTCACGCTGCATTTGTCAGGGAACGGAATTTTTTACTCTATGAATCAGGGTTGTCTCTACCTAGAACCCCGATTAGAAAGGCTGGCCCAAAACCAATCTAGAGCCTTGTTTACAACACATCGCCTACCTGAGAAAAAAACTACACGGAGCAGAACTGAATTACCTAATCTACGACAAGGAGGCCTTAGTCATAGCCACAACCTTCAAGGCGTGCACTTCCTAGAAACACATTTTCACTACGACATCGTCTACAAGGCAGGGCTACACAACAAGACCGACGCGCTGAGCTGCCCCAGGCATGTAGCAAACATCCAACTCGACTGGTTGAACCTTCTGCTTAATGGTCTATTCCAGCATAGGTACCCCTGTGGATCCAGAATTACTGCAGCAGAGAAGCAGGAACTATTACAGTGAAAGAAAGACTTAGCAGTAAGGAAAGGTTCAGGAAATATTTATATACCGAGCTATGCCCCACTCTGACGGATTCTACTAGAAGAGTTCCACGACGTGGCATATGTGCGAATAGCGAAACATTACTACTGACCTCGGATGGTAGCCAACATGCAGCATTTCGTCACATCTTGCGACATGTGCTAGCGGGTGAAGACTAGCAAGCAGAAAAAAGCAGGGTTACTTCAGCCTCTACCCATACTGGAGCAACCATGGCTAGTGATTATTTTGGATTTCATTACTAGACTACCATCGACCACACAAGCGCATGATACTATATTCGTGGTGATCGATAAGTTCTCAAATATGGGACATTTCATCCATACCAACGCGACTGCTACTACTTAAGCAACTGTTCGCCTCTTCTTCGATCGCATTGTGCTCATCCACGGCATCGCCGCTACACTCATCTCGGACAGGGAGCCAAAGTTCACAAGTAAGTTCTGGAGGGAACTCATGGGTTTGTTGGGGACAAAGCTTGCGATGTCTTCAGCGTACCACCCCCAGACTGACGGACAGACTGAGCGACTCAATCAGGTGGTTGAACAGTTATTGCGTACCGCATGCGAAGACCATATCAGCCACCTGGACCTACAGTTACCGACGCTTGAGTTCGCTTACAACAACGAGTCACATGCGGCCACATGAAAATCTCCTTTCTTCCTGTGTTATGGATGGGAACCAATCACAATGCAGTAGCCAACTACACCGGCACACGTCCAAGCCGCACATGACTTCGTCACCACCATGCAACAGCCATGTGTCAAAATGTTGTATTCTCTAGCCTGAAGTGGGGAGAAGACTCAGCGATGTCTCACCACGATGCATAACTCGCAAGAACTGTATGCCAATCGACAGCGACGAGAGCACTCGATAGCAGGCAGGGATCAAGAGCTTCTCGACACACATAGCTTGGACTTATCCCACCTTCCGTCCAAGCTCTGACCTCGCTTCTGTGGTCCTTCTCGCGTTGAGGCCCAAGTGACACCAGTTACATTTCGCTTGTGCTTACCGACCGCGTGGAAGCTTCGCCAAGCCTTCCATGTTCAGCTACTGAAGCCCTTCAAAGACCCGAACCATCAGTTCCAGGGACAACAGCCAACGCCACCACCACCTGTTCTTGTACGAGATGGAATGTGTTCTCGCTCATCGACGCCGACGCGACAATACGCTGGATTTCTTGATACGTTGGAAGGGATATGACCCATCGGAGGACAGTTGGGTTGCAGAAGTTGATATGGGCAACGCACGCCGTGCTCTCAAGGATTATCTTGTCAAGCAGGGTGTTTTTCACACCACCCAGTTTTGAGGGGGGGGACGTGTGAGAATACGACGGTTCTGTTTACCCATATTTAACTTGCCTTGTGGTATCTTGCATATTTATGTTTTCTTGTGCGTGTTTTCCTCGTTTTGTTGCTTTACTATAGTTATTATAGTTATAGGCACTGAACGAGTTACATGCACTGAAATCAATATATTTTGGTTTATCACCGCATCACTTTGTGTAACACGTGATTCCATCGAGATTCCTCTACCCAACTCGGGAAGGATCTATTCGGAGTGCTTCGCGACCCTCGGAACCTATGTGTAACATCCTGGTTACTGGTCTTGTTTCATGCCTCTGTATAGCCTCGTAGTTTGAACCCAGGATTCATGATTCAATTCTGATCTCGATCCTCGATGGTCATAATTGCTCTAGCTCTTTATGGGCTAAGGGCTAGGGTAAAATGTGATTGTTGGACTTGTTGCGGGCTAGAATTGAACTTGCACTAAAAAGCACCAAGAAACTCTTCCTATTCACTACAACACCTTTGGTATTACTAGTGTGGCTTTTTGGGCTGGTGCGGATTGTTGTATGGCGAGTGTTGGGTTTGTTAACATTGTCAAACTCGGCACTTTTCATATCTGAACGCTTGCTAAGGCCATTCCTAGATCTAGTCCGTGGCTGCCTAGTAATTCCGCCAGTATACCTTGTCGCACTCAAATCAATAAAGTGATTGGCCTAGATACCTGCACATATTTCAGGAAGAAGCGAGACGTACGCAGTGGTCCATCGATGTCAAAATCTCTTACCATGCTCTTTAGATTCACACACTTTCAATGACATTCCTCCATCCGCATTCTGCTTTGAATCACCGTTGTCAAGCACCTCGGGCTCCGACAGATTGATGTCACCAACGCGTTCCTATGCGCCATCATATTCATCAACGACACGCTTTCGGGGATGACGACTACATGGCCTACCTTCTCCAAAAATATCTCCATGACATCAAGCAGGCACCATGCATACACACCATTCTCACCAAGCCCAACTTCCAACAGCTTCCCCACGACCAGGGGATGTACCGCCTCGAATTATGTAGTGACTACTTCTCCCTCGTCGCCTACGTGGAGGATCTGCTCCACACTGGGACTAGCGAAGTGCGTAGAGCCACTCTACACTGGGGTATCTGAACTACGTGGGGAGGCACGGGTGGTACGAGTGATTGTAGTGTTGCTTGTGTTCTCTCTACTTGCATGTTCACGAGGCAAAACAACATGAGTTTCACTAAGGAAAGTTGAGAACCATGATGGTCAATAGCAATGGCAAGGAGACTACATAAGACATCCAGCAGCCCAGCATGCAAGCAGGTCGACGCAAGTCGGCGGCGTGCCAACGCAACTGGGAGGCGGCTCGCCACTGCTGCAAGTCAGCGGCCTGCCAGCGTTGCACCAAGGGCGGCTTGCCAACGTTGCGGCAAGGCGGCTTTTCAGCATGGCAACCGCAGATGACTAAAGCGCACATGCGGGCACCCACTTCGCAGGTGCTGGTAGACGGTTGAGCACGTCGCGCACCATCACGCGCATCACCCAAGTGCTAGGTCGGCCGCATGCCGACAGTTTCGCCTAATGCACCATGTCAACCTCGTGTGCACGTGATGTTGCAATGTAGGTTGGCTTCGCCAAAACCACATGGACTGCGTTCGCGTATCCCCTCAAAACTTCGTCGACAAGGTTACTCGGTCGACCAAAGGAGGCCACGAAGTTGACGCCGACGTCGACAGTCGAGACCCGATGTCGTTCTTCGACTTCGTTGGCATCACCCAGGTCGATTTTGTCTTGGCGGGCTTGGTCGACTTTATCGAAGTCGCTCAACCGCAAAAGTCTGCTCCGCCGAGGTCGACCAACTAAGCCGACTTGTTCCTCCAAGTCGGCGTCGACCACGAAGCATGGCCAACCACGAAGTCGGCTTCGCTCAAGAGAGGGCGAATCCGATTCCTGTTAACACGCAGAGCTTCTTCATGAAGGAAGAGATTGATAAAGGGAAGGTGAAGCTCACCTACTGCTCAACAGGAAAGATGGCAACCGGCATTTCGACGATGAACTTGCCACGAATGAAATTTTGGTATTGCGCATACCTTTGTGGAGTCGTAAAGAAGTCCCACATGGCACACCTTCACGAATGAAGAGGAGTGTTGGATTAACCGAAAGGTTATAGAAAACATTCATGAAGTTGTGACAACAACGAATTAGCTCATGTAAAGCACAAGTGGTCCCCACTATTGTGTTTTTCCAATTTTTTTAAGGCACGCGATAGTGTGGAAGTTGGTCAACAGTCGAGAGGTTGACCCTCCACACTTTGACAAACCTCCTTGAGGGCTACGATCGGCGGTTACGAAGTGCGGCAAAGTAACATCAAGCATCCAAATAGTCGCAGTTGTTGTAATGATGCCTATAAAATGGTTTAAATAATTGAATGTACCCCTCAGCTCAGAGTACATGGTTAGTTATGAACATATATTTCGAAGCTCTGTTTTATCATATTGTCGTGTACATTATGAACAGGGTCATACATATGATTCCAATGTCTTAATTATCCGAACAGCCTTATCATGCGCAATTCGACCCTCCAGTTATCCTAACAATTTCCGAAGTGGTGCGCACTGTTTAATTAAATGGTTTCAATATAATGTCTCATACAAAACTTTGTATATCGAAAGTGGGTTTTAGACATGTACAGACGTTTAAGCCCACGCACGACAAGTTCCAATCGCATCTCCCGTGACATAAAATTAATTAAACTAGTAAAATATGGCAACGATAGAAAAATAACATAATTGAGCAGAATATCTTGCCACACCAATTACATGCTATCTGTTATTGCTATGGATATATGTATATATATATATATATATATATATTTTAGGTAATTGATATGTACACCGAACAAAGCAAGCATACATAAACAATAACAGTCGTAACTGTGCATGAGGGGGGCCACGTGACCGCCCTAGTTGCGGAGTCTAAGGAGGTCGGTGACTCATCCTCGGGAAGAGCCACATGGTGTTGAAAGCATTCGTCCACGTCCATGACTTGCGATTCTTGTCCCTGATTTGAAACAGTAGCATATTTTCTCCCTCCATGGTGCGGCGGAACTTCTCTTCCTGCCTCGTGCCCTACCTCTTTCTCCATTGGGCGTCTCTCGTCCGCGTGTACAAGCGTGCATGTAACCGAAAAAGCGGTCTCAATCCGACGGTGTACTTTCCTCACTCAAAATTTTGTGCCCCTAAAGATTGTCAGAATCAACAAGAGTGATTGAACTAGGAAAGAGTTGGGTACAAGTAGGAAACCCTAAACTTACTGTACCCCATAGTAACTACCCCACTACAGCCTAAACAAACTGTAGCAGATATAACATTTGACACACCCCCATAGGCAAAGTGGGGGAGAACAAGGGGTCACAAGACCACTCAAGAAAGGCAAAGCAAGCTCGGGGTGGATCACAACGTCACCACACACTCTGAGCACAAGCAAAGAGCCACAAGGCTAGTTCACATGCAGAGGCATATATGCAACACAAGCAGCACAGTGATCTATACCTAGCAAAGCAAGCATGCAGGTATATATATATAAATAGATCACAGTACAGATAGAGTCTACAACAAGTGAGGAAAAGTGGGCACAAGCCCTAGCAAAGTGCAGAAACGCTGATGATCACCAGACTGAAGCGCCTTGGTGAATATATCAGCAGTGTTGGCCTGAGTGGCCACGTAACGCAGACGAAGCTGACCACGCTGCTGCAGCTCTCGAGCCAGAAAGTAACGTAGAGCGATGTGCTTCGTTCTGTGCTCCAGTCTGTGCTCCTCACACAAGGCAATGACAGCCTTGTTGTCGACGTACAGCACTGGAGGAGAACGAGGCCGCTCTCCCAGGTCGGTCAGCAGGTAGGTGAGCCAGCGTAACTCCTGCGCAGCCATGGCTGTGGCGTAGATCTCAGCCTCACAACTGGAGCTGAGAACTGAAGACGAACGTGTAGAACGCCACGAAACTGAGCCAGAGCCGAGGCTGAAGGTGTAACCCTGTGACTATCGCTGAGTAGCCTGGTCGTCAACCCAAGAAGCGTCTGAGTGCCCAGTGAGAACAACTGGGCTCCCTCCTCCAAGCACGAGCCCCATGCCCGATGTACTGCACAAGTAGCGCAATACCCTCTTTGCAGCATCCCAGTGCACCTTTCGGTGCCTACCAGGAGCCACGTAGCGGGCCAGAAGGCCAAGAGGGTACGCTAGGTCAGGATGAGTGCAAGTCATCAGGTACATGAGGCAACCAACTAGCTCTTGGTAAGGACCACTCGGCTCTACGGACTCATCCGAAGGCAGAGCTGAGAGCGAGTGACCTGTAGCCAGAGGAGTGGCCTGTGCTGAGGACCAGGTGAAGCCGAAGCGCTGAAGGACCTTCTGCACCATGTGTGACTGAGTCAGTGTGATGGTGCGGCGTGCTCTGTCCCGGGTGATCTGCAAGCCAAGGTAGCTGCGCAGTTCACCCAGGTCTGTGCACGTGTGTCTCTTCTGCAGCTCCGACTTCACGTGGGCGAGAGCCTCAGCGTCAGCAGTGGCAAAGACCAAGTCGTTGACGTACACGAGGATGTAGAACGGCGGCAGCGAAGTGTCAGTGCGCAGAAACAGTGACGGGTCAGCAGTAGAAGGCGCGAACCCAAGTGCCGCAAGAGTAGTCCTCAGTGTGTCGTGCCACTCACGTGGCGCCTGACGGAGACCGTAGACCGGCCGCCGGAGGCTCCACTGGGTACCAGGAGGAAACGACCCAGTGAAGCCAGGAGGGCGGCGCAGCCAGATCTCCTCGTGCAGGCTGCCCTGCAAGAAAGCTGTGCTGAAGTTAAGAGAGTGAAGCTCGTAGTCACGCTGAGCAGCAACGTGCAGTAGCACCCGAAGAGTGGTCATCTTCGGGGTGGGGGAGAAGGTCTGAAAGAAGTCTACTCCCTCTCGCTGACTGAAGCCTCGAGCAACGTAACGAGCCTTGAAGACAGGCGGAGAACCTGGCGGCCGCTTCACCCTGAAAATCCACATGCCACTGACGATGTTCGCCCCAGGAGGGGGAACCTCGTCGACGTAAGTGCCAGTGGACTTCCAGGATGCCATCTCTGCATCCATGGCTGTCTGCCACTGAGAGGAGTAGGGACCCGCGATCGCCTCAGCGTAAGAGCGCGGGGTAGGGATGTCTGGAGCATCCGGGTCTCCCTCAGGGGCAAGCAGCATGGATACGAGATGAGGCGCAGCGGCTGCAAGACACTCAAGGACGTCCGTGCCTAGAGCACACTCACCCCCGACGGACAGAGGACAGACATGCGGCGTAGACTCAGCAACAAGACTCGCGGCGTAGTCTAGACGACAGCGAGCAGCAAAGTCGACAAGCTTAACAACTAGGGCAGACGCAGCAGCAGTCTCAAAGGAAGGGTCAGTGACAACAGTGGCCAGGAGACGCGTGACAGTAGGACTGGCAGCACGAAGAGAGTCAGACTCTGGGTCAGCAAGAACAGGAAGAGAGGACGCAGGAGGAGACGATAGAGGGACACGCAGTGGAAGGACGCAGAGTCATATAGTGTGTGCCAGGGACAGGTGGAGGACGCTCACGCGGAACACGGCGACCAGTGCGAGCAGCACGAACAGGTGACACTGGACAAGACACAGGCGACGCAGGACGAGACTTAGGCTCACGACGCTCTGTAAGACCGCCTGTCGGACCAGTGTAGGGAGAGGGACCAGGAAGTGGCGAGGCAGGTGGTAGCTGCGACTGCGACTGGACAGGCGGAGGACACGCTAAGGAGGGAGGAGGACTAGGAGGAGGCGACTGACCAAGAACCTGCTGAAGGAGCGGAACGAAGTACGGCCGCGGCCGTGAAGTGCCCCCAGAAGCAGCAGAGACAGCACCAGAACCTCCTGCCGAACCAGCACCAGCAGCACCTCCAGCAGCTCCAGAGCCTCCAGCAGCACCAGCAGCACCTCCAGCAGCTCCAGGACCTCCAGCAGCACCAGCAGCACCTCCAGCAGCTCCAGCACCTCCTGCAGTACCAGCACCAGCAGCACCTCCAGCAGCTCCAGAGCCTCCTGCAGCACCAGCAGCACCTCCAGCAGCTCCAGGACCTCCAGCAGCACCAGCAGCACCTCCAGCAGCTCCAGGACCTCCAGCAGCACCAGCAGCACCTCCAGCAGCTCCAGCACCTCCAGCAGCACCAGCACCAGCAGCACCTCCAGCAGCTCCAGCACCTCCAGCAGCACCAGCACCAGCAGCACCTCCAGCAGCTCCAGGACCTCCAGTAGCAGCAGGGCCTCCAGCTGGCGGTACCTCAACACCAGGAGCTCCACTCCGGAGGCTGCAGCGCCGAGCGTACCACTCACGTAGCCGCTGAGGGGAGGGAGGCTCCGGCTGCAACACTGCACCCGCAGGGCCACCAGCCCCAACTCCAGCAGACCCCCCAGCTCCAGTAGCCCCACGACGGAGGCTGCAATGCTGGGAGTACCACTCACGCAGCTGCTGCGAAGAGGGAGCGCCAACAGGTGCAGTACGGCCAGTCTCAGAACCCCCAGCCTCAGCTCCTCGAGGCTCAGCACCCCCAGTCGCAGCACCCCCAGGCTCAGCACCCCCAGTCTCCACACCCCCAGGCTCAGCACCCCCAGTCTCCGCACCCCCAGGCTCAGCACCCCCAGTTGCAGTACCCTCAGACCCAGCACCACCAGGCTCAGCACGCTCAGCACCTCGCGCAGGACCAGAGTCAACAGCTAACTCAACAGGCTCGACCGGGTCTACCTGGGAAACACCTGAAGGAGCAGCACCCTGGGGAGGGAGGGGGTCTACCGACGGGACACCTGGGGTGAGGAAGAGCGGCGGGGGGGGGGGGAGCGGGGCAGTGCGGTAGGGGAAGAGACGGTAAAAAGGGACCGACTCGTCAAAGGTGACATCCTGAGAGGTGAAGACACGACGCGAGGTGGGGTGGTAAAACTGCCAGCCAGGCGCGTCAGGAACAAAGCCAAGGAAGACACAGGGAACGGCACGGGAGGAGAGCTTGTCCGCGGACGTATCGCGGACAAAGGCTCGACATCCCCAGACTCGGAACACCGACGCATCGCCAACCTCCCCCGTCCACCGCAGGGTAGGCGAGGTCTCCGGAACAGAGACACGGGGCCAGAGGTTGAGCTGATGCGCGGCGTACTGCACTGCAAACGGCCACAGGAAATGGGGGGCAGCTGCATGGATCATGGAGGTACGAGCGACCTCCATGACGAGACCAATGCGGCGCTCAGCAACCCCATTCTGCTGCGGAGAGGCCGGGAGAGTGAACGTCTGGCGGATGCCGTGCTCCGCACAGTAGGCTGCCAAGAGGTCAGAGGAAAACTCGCCACCTCTGTCAGAGTGCAGACGTAGGACAGGAAAGTCCGACTGGAACCGCTCGCAGAGCTGGAGACAAGCTGCGCGGATCCAAGGGATCAAGACATCAGGGACCTCACCCTTGGTACGCAAGGGGAAGACCGTGGTGTAACGCGTGTAGTCGTCGACGACCAGCAGAAAATACCGCTCGTGGGGCGAACGAGTCTCGCTCAGACGACGCTGCTGCGGCACCGAGCCACTACAAGAAACTCCCGGACTACGCACTCCAGGACGACTCCCACTACTGCCACCCCGACAACCCCAACGAGCGTACCACTCACGAAGCTGCTGGGGCGTGAGGGACACACGCAGACGGCCCTGGAGCTGCATCTAGCCACGCCAGGAGCAGCAATAGATGCAGGAACAGCAGGACGGGTAGGGACGTGCTCACGAGTGGTGGGAAGGGCAGGTGCACGACGGAGGCGACTGCGGGACCGCTACAGCGGCAGGGCGGGGCCAGGGGCGGCTGCTGCAGGGGCGGGTGCTCCATGGGCAGCTGCTCCAGGGGCCAGGGGCGGCTGCTGCAGTGGCGGCTGCTCCAGGGGCCAGGGGCGGCTGCTGCAGGGGCGGCTGCCCCAGGGGCGGCTGCCCCAGGGGCGGCTCCTTCAGTGGCGGCTGTTCTAGTGGCCGGCCGCTTCAGGGGTCAGGGGCGGCTACTGCAGGGACGGGTGCTCCAGGGGCGGCTGCTCCAGGGGCGGCTGCTGCAGGGGCGGCTGCTCCAGGGGCCCGGCGCGGGGTAGGGCAGGGCGATGCGGTGGGCAGGGGCGACGCGGCGAGCTGGGGCGACGCGGCGAGCAGAGCGACGCGGCGGGCAGGGGCGACGTCGCGGGCAGGGGCGACGCGGCGAGCCGGGCGACGCGGCAGGCAGGGGCGACGCCGCGTCAGCAGCTGGGCGCGGTCGCGTCAGTAGTACGGCGCGGCCACATCAGCAGGAGGGCGCGGCCGCGGCAGCTGCAGGGCTGGCGAGGCCGCGTCATGGCAGGGCGGGGCCGCGACTGCGGCCTGACGAGGCCGCGACTGCGGCCTGACGGGGCCGCGACTGCGGCCAGACGGGGCCGCGACTGCGACCTGACGGGGTCGCGTGCTGGTCCGACGGGCCTGCAGAGGCTGCGTGCGGGTGGCGAGGGCCTACAAGGGCGGCGCGCGGTCGGGCAGAAGCTGCGCGCGGGCGGCGTGGTCCTGCAGGGGCAGCGCCCCAACCTGACGGGCCTGCAGGGGCGGCTCTCAGGCTTGACGGGCCTGCAGAGGCGGCTCAGGGGCCTGACGGACCTGTAGGGGCGGCTCGAGGGCCCTACTAGCTTGCAGGGGCGGCGCACTGGCCTAGGGCAGCAGGAGGCAGCGCGAGGGCTGCACGAGCAGAGAAAGGCGCACGAGGGCGCACGAGCAAAGACAGGCGCACGAGGGCGCACGAGCAGAGAAAGGCGCACGAGGGCGCACGTAGGGTAGGGCGCACGAGGGCGCTTCTAGCGGAACAGTGGGCCCGTAGTAGTAAGCGGTCCTAGGTGGCAACCTAGGCTCTGATACCATGTCAGAATCAACAAGAGTGATTGAACTAGGAAAGAGTTGGGTACAAGTAGGAAACCCTAAACTTACTGTACCCCATAGTAACTACCCCACTACAGCCTAAACAAACTGTAGCAGATATAACATTTGACAAAGATCGCATCACAACGCTCCAACCAAAGTTGATGTAGCGTGATGGATGTAAGCGTGGCTTCTGGAAATGTTGTGCTGACCCCTGCCTTCCGGGACAGTAGATCCCCCAACGATGAGACCATGCAAGAGTCATTCATCATGCGGAGGGTTTTCTGGAGCGCCGAGGTCACCACCTGAATTTTCGGACAACTGTATAAACAATGTTCGAGAGTTTCGCAGCCCCCACAGTGCAAGAAGACTGGCATGCTGCTCAAAAAGGCCACCCGCTCCCCCACTTGCAAGTTGAAGTTGTAGATGCGTTGCAATCCATCCCTCGGCCTGCTGGGTGTAGCAAGCGAGTCCCGAACAGCGATCGTTTTCTTCCAGTCGATGTGCCTGTTCCACCTGCCCTTCCATTTTTGCTGCTTTGCAAATGGTTTCTGTCCCTCCTTCCACATCAACTTCAACCGCTTCAATGGCACAACCCCCCCGTTTTCGAAGATGGGGAAGTCAGTAAGGTTGCGCCCAGCAGTGTGATGCGTCTGCCGAGACCCAGCCGAGCTGGTCGGTTGCGCCACCTGGGGAGGTGCAACGAGTAACAGCTCTCGCCACTTCTGAGGTGCAGCTTCAAACGCCTTCACTGCTAGCTTAGCTGGGCCCTTCCCTCCTAATTCACGCTGGAGAGTGGCTGAGTCTTTGAGCACCAGCAAACCGTTGCTGCCATGTTAAGTAGGTCACTGAGCCGCTTCTCCCATAACTGCTTTGCATCCTTTTGCCCCCCGATCGCGTAGTCCCCTTCAGTAGGATTCTCCGATTGAAGACAATCCGCTCACTAATTACCACCTCCCGAGTGCTTGCCTCCGGCAGATTTCCCAGCGGTGTTTTTATAAAGTTCTCACGTGCCACCTTCCGGCGCGCGCATTTCCCCTCTCGATGCTTCAGCAGCTTCTCATGAGCAAAGAAGGTCTCGATGCCCATCAACAGATCCACTGCCCTTTTCATAAGATGCTTCTTCACTTGGTTTGTCTCCAACGCCAACAACCCCACTCTCCTGGCCGTGAGACAAGCTAGTATCATTTTCGGGTCGTGCACACCGACACCACCAAGTTCCCTCAGAGTGTATAACAGCTCTCTGCTCCAGAGCATAAAACCCCTGTCCGCCGTTGCTCTGTTTGCAGATACGAATTTATGGAAGGTCTTGGATAATGTGCCCCAGAGCTTTGCCGACGGAGGGTACACTTGTGCTTGAAACGCCGCCTTTTGCATCGTGTAACTGTTAACCACCGTCGTACGCGCCTTCGTAGGAAGATACTTTTGCTGCCACTTTTTAATCTTCCCCGATATGTCCTCCGCAGTCTTTTCCCATGTTGCCTGGCAGCTACCTGAGGGAGTCACCCACACCCCAAGCAGCTTATCTACTTCATCCACTGCTGCCCATCTGAAGCTGTGTGTCCGACCTGTCGTCTATCCGAGATTGTTACCCAGGGGTACGATAACTGTTTTTTTCGCGGTTCCTCGCCAGCCCGGTGTCTGCTCAAACTTTGCCAGCACTTTCTCTGCCCGGATCAACTGCTGCTTCCCTTCCAGGACCAGGGTGGTGTCATCTGCGTAACCAATGTATGCCAAGCGATCCCCTGCCTTACTGATCCCCAACTTCCGTTTGATGACCATCTGCGCCAGCGACTCAACCGCACATAGAAAGAGGTATGGAGCTAGCGGGCAGCCTTGTCTGACACTCGATACTACCTCCACCCCTTCTCCCATCCCGCAGTTGACTAATAACCGTGTCTGCGTACCCTTGTGCAGGCCTTGTACCCAGTTTATAAACCGCTCCTGATGTCAGAATATTATGCTCTAGCCTGTAGTGGGGTGCTCTGTAGCGAGTACAACCCTTCTAGGGTTTGCTATTTGTATCCCCATTCTTGCTAGTGCAACCCCTCTCTTTCGCCTAAACTCTCTTGCCTAGCTAGGACTCTCCTAGCTATGGCTCCTAAGACTACCGCTTATCTCAACATGGCATCAGAGCTTAACGTTCCTGGCCTGTGGGCCCACTTCACTGCTTCCGCTGCTACTGCTACTCCCTGTCCGCCGCGCGCCCCGTGGTGCGCGGCGTCGAAACTAGGGTTTTCAGCCCGCCGTGCGCCCCGAGGCGCGCGGCGGTTTTCTGCCCGCCGTGCGCCCCGAGGCGCGCGGCGGTTCTCTGCCCGCCGTGTGCCCCGAGGCGCGCGACGGGTTCCTGCCCCGTCACTCGGCACGTCGCCCCCGGGAGGCGCTGCGACGGGCGACGGGGACCCGCGCGTCGCCCCCCGTCGCCCGTCGTGGCCTGCGCGCGGCCCGTACACCCGGCGCGCGGCCCGTACGGGCTGCGCCAGGCCTGCGCGCGGCCCGTACGGGCTGCGCCAGGCCCGCGCGCGGCCCGTACGGGCTGCGCCAGGCCCGCGCGCGGCCCGTACGGGCTGCGCCAGGCACGCGCGCGGCCCGTACGGGCTGCGCCAGTCCCGCGCGCGGCTCGGACCGCCTGCGCGCGGTTCGGGAGGCTGTGCCAGGCCCGTGGGCGCCCCGTTCTTCGCTGCCCCTGTCCTCCCCGCTGTCCCCCGTGCTTCTGAAGGCGCCCCACCCCTCCTTCTGCCCGTTCTCCTGGATTAGGGTTTGGGGTTGGGGGGTATGGGGGTGCAGCTTCTGTGTGCCGTTCCCTGCTCCTCCTCCTCCTCCGTCTCCCTGTGCTGCAGCTGCCGCTGAGGGGGGTGGACCTGTTGGAGCCGTCGGAGTGGTACTAAGGGGGGGTGAAGGGGGAGTGGAGCTAGCGGTGTAGCAGCGGGTGTGTGTCGAGGGATGTGGGACTGTTGGGGGAGGTTGAGGGGAGGTTGCCGTCGTGTCGTACGCAGCGCCTGTACTCCGGGGCACTCACTCCCGGTAGCTCAGAGAGCCGGTTGCGCCGTCGCCTGTGGGTCCGTTGCTCCTGCTGCTCGTCTTAGCCGCGGAGCCTGTTACTCCTGTACTCCGGGGCACTCACTCCCGGTAGCCACTGTGTCGCACCAGAGCCGTCTGTTGCCCGTGTGACTGCAGCTTCAGTCGTCGCCTCCCATCTACTCTCCTCTCGCCAGCCCTCCTCCTCCTCACTTCCCCGTTGTGACTACCACTAGCTTTGCTCATAATTGTGAACTTTAAACTATTGCTTCTTAAACTTGTGCTCAGAATGTGTGGTGACATTGTGATCC